GAGCTGGCAGTCAAACATATTTCAGTGATCAGAAGGCTTCAAAAATAACTAGATTATACAGCAGAAATAACCTGCTGTAGTTTGAGTCCTGCAGAAGCCAAGCATCCACATGCATCCCAGGACAGAGGAGAAAACAGGAAGAGAAAATGTAAGAAAACACAGAAATCAAGGTAAAGACACTTGAGTAAATGACAGAAGGGGGAAAGCATCCCTCTTTGAGAACTAAGTGAGAACTTAGTGATGCAAAAGAGTCCTATGAGAACTAAGTGATGCAAAAGCAATGACTCATTATTTCCCATAAGAGGAGTCTCCAAGTAATGGCCAACCTGAAAGAAAAAAAAACCTCTCATCTTCTTCTTCCTCTACCCCAGGTTTTATTGCTGAGCATAAGGTTGTACAACATGGAACATCCCTTTGCTCAGTTCAGGTTTAGATGTCTTATTTGGTCTCCTTCTGACTTCTTGCATAGGTCCAACCTACTCATACTCACTGGAGTGGGGGAGGAGCAGCACAGTGGGGGTAAAAGCAAAAGCCTTGTGTTTGCAATAATTGCTCAGCAATAGCTACACAATTACTGTCATACCAGCCTCACCTTCTTTAGCCACAAACCCAAGACTTAGCACCCAAGGGCTGCTATGAAGAGCTAGCTTCATCCCAGCCAGATCCAGTAGATCAGAACCAAAAAATGAAAATGGTGAAGTCCCATTCTGGCAGAGGAATGATTAGACTGGAACTAATAAAATTACTTACAAACAAAATTACACATGCTCTTGACAACTGGGGGCAGTAAAATCCTTCAGAAAACAAGGGATCCAGTAAGCACAGCCTTAGAGCCTGCTTCAAATGTGCTTCCAGCAGGACTGCACACAATTTTCAGAAATAGGGAAATTATAGAAATAATGTTATTAATCCCAGGACTATGTTTGGAAGCTCAGTGACATTTTTGACTTGGCAAGCAAGATCTTTTGATGCCTTCCTGATGGCCAAGTGTGGTTGTTTTTTTTTTTTGTTTTCTTTCATGCTTTATATAAGCAGAGTTATGGAGTGCTTGGGTGTGTTTAATTATGATAAGGTTTGGAAACATTTCTCTGTGTAACAGACACTCATGCAGGCCCTGCCTTATGTGAAGAAACTAATTTATGACTTTGGGTGGAGTTGTAAGTAAGAAGGCATAAAATAGCGCTTTCCCTCCCACCTCTCAGAGAGCTGGGAAGGCAAGGCTCCTTTGCAGAGGGAATGATTCAAAGTGCCTGCTGCAGAACCTGGCCTGTGCTTACTCTTTTACTGTGGAGTTTTCCTGGGATGCTCACACTTCCCTTCTCCACAGCTCTCCTGCACATCTACAACCACTTCCCCCCTCCACTCTCCTCAGTGTTTTTTTTTTTACAGTCTCTGAATTTCTAATTATATTCACTGGCTTGACACAAGCTGAGCTGTGCAAGGTTTTCTGGAAAAGAGCAGTTATTTTATGCTTTCTTATTCCCTTGTACAAAGAGAGAGAGCAGCATGCAATCCCAAAGAAATATACTGAAAAGAGAGGAGTATGTCATTTCAATAGTCAATGTGATGTTTTGGCTGTATCTGAAGATCAACATTTACAGAAAATAGATGCGTAAATTGCCTTTTATATAGTTCTTCAGAAGTTGCTTTCAGGAAATTATTTATTATTCCAGATGCCTAAGTATTCAAGGATACTGACTGACTGGAAAGAGTTTAGAGCAGAATAGTAAAAATGATCACTCAGTGCAGCTGTTTTGACTTACTTAAAAAAAAGTGATTAATGGATTAAAGGGATAAAATACAGCTTGAGGCTGGACTAAATGATGAGCTGGGGAGGACACAGGCCTCTCCAAATATGAATAAACAACATGAATAAAACAGTAACACACAGCAGTAAACCATAGGGTAAGCAATGACACACTCAACTCAGAGCCACAAATTATTCTTCTACAAGTCAAACTAATCAAAGGATAGTTGAAGTTAAATCTTCTGTCATGTATTTCTGAACAGATCTACTCAACAGAAAGGCAGAAGATGTAGAGCTTGAACAGAATAGAGGATGAGGTTCTGATGTTACAAATGCGCCAAAGAAGTTTTCTTCTTGAAATGTCTGTTTCTGTATCATATTAATACATTCTCTTTTCTAGCAAAAAATGGCACAATGTTCACTGTTTACTTATTACTATGTTAACAGTGAACATTGTGCCACTTTCTTTAGTTTGTCAACAGTTTGATCCACAGTCTTGCTTTGTAGTCAACATAAATTCACCCAAGCATTAACTTATCTTTGTTGACTTTGTGGTTCTTAAGGTCATGCAGTTTAAAAAATTTTTGTTATACCTTATCAAATATACCAATTACTGCTGGCTTAGGACAGTTTCCATGCACAGCTCCTGAATGTCAATCTCATTTTCTCATATGGGTGATAGAAGAAATTTTTTGCACTTGAATGCTCCTGTCACTCTACTGAAGCGTACCATGAATTCGAAATAGACAAAAGTAACTTCTGGATAAAATTGAAAAAACTGGATCACACCCTTGTTTTTCTAGGTTGATGATTACTTCAAATATTAAATAAGTCAAGGGCTACATCTAATATTTAGGCTGTGAAGTCAGTGAGCCCTAAGCTAGGAAATGTCAGAGGAAAGTAAGTAATCTCATCCTCTGTGTGCAGTGTATTTCAGCCTTAAGTCATCAAAGCACTACAAGGTGACCACAGAACACCACCATGAAGGCCATGGCAACCCTAAACCTGCTGGTGAAAATACAGAGATAGTCTCATGCTTCTTTTTTCCCCACAAGTGACTTAATGATGCAATTTTTTTTTCCATATGATTAGCACTTTGAAAGTTGGAAGTATTGAATAGTTAGTTACCTGTTATTTCCTTTTATCCTTCTCTAAATGTGGGGCTCCAGGTCTCATTCTCTGCACATCATGTAAAGCTGGCTCTGAGTATGTATAGAATTACTTTACTAATAAAATTTCTACTACTATTCCAAAGTAACCTGATATTTTACCATGTTGGAAGTACCACAGAAGTTATATTTCATCTATTCAAGGGAGTGAAATTAGTAGTATATTTTACCAATGGGAAAGATTATAGGCACTTGCTTCAAACTATTGAGTACTCATGAATTTTGTGAATCAGCAATACAGAGATTCTAATTTATTTAGGGTAGTTACACTTTCTCCCCCCCTCTTTTTAAATCTTAGGAAGTTTATATAAGCTTTGATATATTCAAAGCATGGCTTCCATCAAAGTGAATGTAAAGACAAAGTATTGAGAGCTTCTGCAAATCTACTCCTGGGTATGTACCAAGAAAATAAAGAACATAGAATTAGGTGCTCCTCAGTGAGATTCTGGGTTTTTAAGGATGATTTGTCCTGGTGGAAACAGTGAAAAATGTAGGAGTGGGACCTGTTGTGTCACCTTGGAATTACCACACTCATCTTTTCCTGCATGCTGAAATCAACACTTCAGTACTCTTCTGGCTGGCCCACTCAACACACACATGTGATTTACCCACTGAGAGCAGTATTTCAATGCAGTGCTGGCAGAAAATCATACCCTGAAAAATGATAAGGCCTTAATGAAGAACCAGAAAAAGGGTAAGACCTGCCAGAAACAGGGTAAGTAAGGCCTTAGTACAGATCTTGTCAGCTGTGAAAACTTCACAATCATCCTAGTAAGAATGCTTAAATGTGGATCAAAGATGTATTTTTCTGAAGTCCTACCGTTTAAACAAATAAAATTTAACACAACTTTATAAGAAGTAAGTAAATACAGATCAGCTTTAAACAGTAAGGGATTATGAAAAAGGCACGTCTTTACATTACCAAAATGGAAAATGTTTTTTTTTAATGGGAAGTTTCAGGGAAATTGATGTGCTTGATAGTATTTTACTTTAAAAAAATCGTTATTTATAGAAAACCAATGGTTACTTGCAGAATATTGGGAAGGAACAGAATGGCATCTAAAATACAAGTGCCAGTGGGCAGGTAACGCTTTGGCTTGCTCCTCCCCAAAGGCCTGCAGCCTTTGCGGACCAGCTAGAGAGCGACTGGGGAGGGCGTGACCGCCGGCCACTGAACGCCGAATTCCCCAGCCCCGACTCCTCTGGCCGTCTGTGCCGATTCCGACAGACACAACATTCTGTACATCTCTGTCTGGAGCTGCCCAGGCCGGAGAGCGCCCCGAGGCGCCCGCTTACCCTGCGGCGCCACGTCCTGCCGGCAGACGCGAGCCTGGCGCCCCGGCAGCGCCGTGCGCCGCAGCCAATGGGAGCCCGCGGCCAGCCGACGTTGAGAGGCAGAACAACGCCGCACGTCGCGCCTGACTTGGCGCCCAAAGCCAGGACTTGGAGGCGGGGTGATCGGGCACTCAACAGCGCCAGTAACCAATCAGACTATAAAGCCAGCCCACCGCGGATTCTTATTGGCTATAGTGCCAGAACTGATTTTAGCAACAACCAATCGGACGCGGCGAAAGGGCGGCCGTTTGAATTGGGGCGGGAGCGGCCGGCCGCGGTGTGCAGAGTGGAAGGCGGCTGGCGGCGGGAACGGTTTTTCGTTATGGAGTTTGATCCCACGATGCAGGAGGGGCTGCGGCGCAGCAGCGCTCGTTTCATGGCATCCATGACGCGCATCATCGAACAGGTGAGCTATGCGACCGGGATGGCCGCGGGTTCCGGGCGCCGTCCTGAGGCGGGCGGGGAAGCGGGGACTGAGAGCAGCCGTGCCGTCTGTGCTGGCCCGCGCACTCCTGTGCCTTGGCAGGAGAGGGCTGGCAAGAGCCAGGTCCCGGGATACAGCCACAAAACGGACACCTGGGACTGCCCGTGCTGGATACGCGACTTAGTTACAAGTGCGAGCTGACTTCACAGTGTCCTTAACCCCGACTAGCTTGCGTTAGACGGGGGATTTCCAATGAAACTACAGAAAGTGGGGGACTCCGTGAGTCCCTCTCCCTTGGGAGCCGTTCTGTGTTTAAGGTGTGGGTATGGTCCTCCTCCGTGCATCCCCATTTATCCCGGGATGCGTCCTTTCCCGTTCGGGAGATGTTTTGTGCCGCCGCTGGGCTAAATCTGGCACTAGATGGATTTTCTCGCCTAGTGGCACATCGGATATTTTTACATGTCATGAGCTGTTGGTCTTAGCTGTGGGTTGCTTTTAGTTTCTACAACAGAAATTTGGGTGAAACTGTCAGAGAGCGACTTAACTGCATTTTAAAACTCTCTGAAGCCCTGTTTTGGCAGCGCGTATGCCTTAGGTTGAATGGCTTACGCATATAATTAAAATACACCGGTTTCCTCTAGGAGTAAATATTTCTGGATTGCTGACATACAGCTTTGGCCAATAAAACAGCATAATGATAACTTCATGTTTAGGGTAAAAGAAAAAATTGTTCTAATAACAATACATAAAACAGACATTAAAGATATTACTTTGATCGTTTGTTCTAATATTTAATGGTTCTTTTTCTTTAGTATAGTCATCCCTTTAGGGATGACATACTGATTTCCATGGACTCTTTGACGTACGATACACCTGAGGGTAAGAATTCCTTAAAGCTACATTGTTTACATACTGTATGTGTAGACTTAGTAAAGCATGCAAGTGTTGTCAGCTGCAGAATATTTAAGTGTGACGAATACTGATTTTTTTCACTAAGATATGATAAATCATATGTAGACTTAGTATAGTACCAAGAGTTTACTCCTATATGCATTATTAGTCTATCGTGTGCTCCATTCTAGATAAGAAAATGGTTATTAGCAAAGTTCATGGTATAAATGGGTAATGTTTGGATGACTTGAAGGAAGAAAAGGAATGCAGACATTAGCAGGAATTGATGTGCATGAATGGATTATGTATTTTCATCTCAACTTAATATTCTGAATAATGCTATGATAAATTACTGCTGTGCCAAACATCAGAGTGGAGTAGGTAGACAGTGTTTTTAAATTTTATCTACAAACAGACCCAAGCTTATTCGTAAAGACAAATCCACTATTCCTCTTAGCATAAATCTAAACCATGTGGCCCCATGACAATATTTATCCCGGTTTTTTTGTAATGGTTGATCAAAATTCTGCAATGTTGAAAGGTGGATCCCGTCCGGGCTCTGCGTGAGAGAATTGCTTGTTGTGAAGGCGAGGTCCCCGCCGGCTGCATTTCGCACCTTCTCTTCACGTGGGCACCGGCAAGGAAAAGCCGCCACCGCCGCCCTGGCCCCTGTGTCTGCAGCGCGGCTGCCTAGGAGCGGCCAAGGGAACCGAGTTCATTGTGAGCCCTGCCAAGATAGCAGCGGCCCCGGTCGCCAATTCCAGATGCGCGTTCCCGGCCACGTGGCCGCTCCCGGCGCTGGTCTCGGCCGCGTGGTTCCTCGCCGTGCCTGACGGGCCCGCAGCACGGCCCTGCAGGCTCCACCAGGAAAGGGAGCGGCACCACTCCTCGGAGACCACAGAGATAGAGAGCCCTCGCAGTTTTTCTGCTTCTTAAATACATTGTCGTAGAGGCATTACCAGCTTCTCTAATTGGCTTAGCAGCATGCCTCTTCTCAGAGCCAGCCAGCAATTAGTTTTGCCAGGCACAGGAGAAGCTTTTGGCAGCTCTTCCCAGAAAATCACTTCCGTGACTGGCCTTCTCCCTCTTCACCTAAAATCAAGTCCCATAAAAACTACCACATTCATGAATTGCCGTCTCAGTTTTTATAGCTTACTGGAGAGATCGAGGAAGTACCAGTTGTGCACCAAAGGTTTTTACAGACTGGCAGGCTTGCATTTCATACACGTTATCCAATGGGAGAGGGAGGAAGCATTCATAGAGTACTGTAATAGACAGCTTTGCATTGGTAAAGGATTGGTTATGCTTTTGGGTTAGTGATCTCTGTTCAAAATGGAAGGAATTATGGATCTCGGTCCCCAAAGAGCCTTAATTATGGCTTTAACTAACCTCAGATACCATGGAGTCTGCATTCATCAACTAAAATCTAGAACCTAAAATCTTTTGCCTCTTTTCTCCTCTTGGTAGATTATGGGGCTATAATGCTCTTTGGATTTTAGCTCCGTCTTGTTAGACTCAGCATATGTGATGATCTTTTATGTCTTGCTTGACTTCTCAACTTGAATTGCCATATTCTCCTGGTTTGTCTTCCTTTAAATTTTTATTTCAGCAAATGTGGTAGTAGACAGTTCAGATTTGCTAATGCTTTGTTATTGTGTAATATGTCGTTCCCAAATGTTTGTTAGAATGATATTCAGTCTAGATGGTATTATGATAAGTGGTAATATTATTGCTTTTTGTTTTTTTCTAGGACCTAAACGATGGGACCATATGTCAAGGAAAGACGTTAAAACCTGGAAGAAAGGATTTACGGTATTTAATAGTACAGTCCTACTGTGCAGCCAAAATGCAGCAATATTTCTTTGTGGATGTATAGATAGATAGGATTATATTCTAATTTTGCCATGCTATATAATATTTTCAGAGGTATTGAGGAGGTCATCATCTGCTCTACAATAGAGTTTTAGGATAGTTTAAGATGCTTCCGATGCATCTAGCTAAAATGGCTGACTATTTATCATTGGTTAGCACTTGTAAACCTGGAGAAATTTTTTTTTCAATTGCTGTCTGTTGGGAGTGTGTATTTTTGGAACTCATCAGAATGTATTCTGTGCAGTTACTGCATTGAATCAATTTATCTTTGTTCAGCCAGTCAGCTCTTTGATTCAGCAGGGGTTTCTGGTTTCATCTTTAGTTTCTGGTTTTTTTCTCTGTGGAATAATGCCAGATTAATTAAAGAATCTTTGCAGTCTCACCAGTCAGTGTGTCAGGTAAACCCATGGCCTGTATGACATGCCTTGGCAGTACCTCAGAAGCTGTTCTGAACCCCACAGAGTGAGGGCATGAGGAATGAAATTCAGTCTGAGGCAACATGAGTGGATTTAATGGAGACCAAAACGAGGCTGTATTTAGGGTTCCCTTTCCACTCCTGGTAATGCCTCGTGCACAGTCTACTAAGCATTGCTGCCCAAGTTTCCCAACCAAATCCTTAAAGACTGTGAGGGAAATTCTCTGTCTTAGCCTCTTATGTGGGCACAGGTATGTTCTTGCAGTGTCTTTGGGCAACAGTAAGGGAAAAAGTGAATGATCAGGTAAGTTTCCTAGATACTTGTGGCTTTTCTGGTTAGGCCAGGGGAAACCAGAGAAAATTGAATGGATTTGTACTTGTGGGCTATACCAAAGTAAAAAAATAAGATGGTTAAAATTATTTTGCTATATTTTGATTATTCTGACTTTTTTTTTTTCTATTGCAGCATGTTGGTCAAAGGACAAGGAGCAGAGGTACTGTTTTTTTTTAAAAGAAAAGTCTGTTGCAAAATGTCTTAAGCCATGAATGAGTCTTGACTTCAAGGAAGGTATTCTGGTTCATGCTAAACCCTTTAGGATACTCAATGGGTTTTGTGTGAGAAGCCGTCTAATAAATCATCAATACTTATGTTCATAAGGATTCAGAAATGTCATTAAAAGTGTTTAAGATTAAATATGTTACATCTCATGATGCGATCAAAACAAGTTGATTCATTGATAAGCAACCCTTATCAATTAATCCAAGAGTTTTTAGTTGTATTTGTCAGTTTTGTCAGATAATCATTGAATCTTAAAAATTCCAAGCCTGATTGCGTACACATAGTGGTGAAATATGAATGTTGTTAGCTTTTTGAAAATTAGTAGGTAAGTGGGCACATTAAAAAATATGTACTAAAATAATCTCATGAAGTTCCATAATGGGCTGTCCATAATTTAGGAGATTATTCAGTGCAGTCAGTGAATCAGGATGTCTCCAGAAAAAAGGAGCATGCAGTTACTTTATTGGCAATTAAGTTCCGGAATAGAAACCAAAACATGTCAGTACACCCAAGCATAGATATGATACTACTTGGACGGGATGTGTGACATCTGAACATTTTTCTGAAAAGAAGCTATATGTTCCAATAAAATATATATCTCTCCTGGGATAAGTGATCGGGGAGAAATTTTTCTGGTGTAGTAGAGTGAATCACACAGACTCACTAGATTGGGAGAGACCTTCAAGATCACTGAGTCCAGGCCATGCCCCAACACCTCAACTAGACCATGGCACCAAGTGCCACATCCAGTCTTTTTTAAACACATTGAGGGATATAGTGACTCCACTACCTCCCTGAGCAGACTGTTCTGGTCTTTATCACTCTTCCCATAAAAACCTTTCTCCTGATATCCAACCTGGATTTCCCTTGATGTAGCTTGAGACTGTCTCCTCTGGTTCTGTCCATTGCTGACAGGAGAGAGAGACCAACCCCCACCTGGCTACAGCCACCTTTCAGGAAGTTGTTGAGAGTGATAAGGTCACCTCTGAGTCTCCTTTTCTCCAGGCTAAGCACCCCCAGCTCCCTCAGTCACTCCTCACAGGGTTTGTGTTCCAAGCCCCTCACCAGCCTCGTTGCCTCCTCTGGATGCGCTCAAGCGTCTCAAGGTCCTTCCCAAACTTCCCAAACTGAGGGGCCAGAACTGGACACAGCCCTCAAGGTGTGGCCTCACCAGTGCCAAGGGCAGGGGAAGGATGACCTCCCTGCTCCTGCTGGCCACACTGTTCCTGATCCAGGTCAGGATGCCTTTGGGCTTCTTGGCCACCAGGGCTCACTGCTGGCTCATGTTCATGTCAGCCAGTACCCCCAAGTCCCTTTCTGCCTGGGCACTGTCCAGCCACTGTCCCCAGCCTGTAGTGTTGCAGGGCGTTATTGTGGCCAAAACGCCACTATGCCACCTTCACAAAATGAAGGCATGTTGGGCTCAATTCTCTCAAGGTTGTGTAGTCAGCTTCTTTTGGTGTTATTTTATGACATTTGTCTGAGAAACTTTTATTAGGAGCACGAGAGGACAAAGCACTGCCTAGCACAGGCTTCCTCCACAGCACTGCCAAAAAAGTTTGTCCATACAGTGGTCAGATACAGGCTTTGAATCAGCTTAAGAAATCTGAATGTAGAGCTGGAAAATAAGGGTCTGGTACAAAAAGTTTCAGATGGTCCTGATCTTTACTTCTTGTTCCATTTGGCTAATGGGGCAAAGTAGTACAAAAATGTGGCTATAGTCTCTGATAAAACATGGAGAGAAAGTTATGTTTTTTCAAAGATATAGTATTTCAAGTTTCTTAGAATAAATATTTTGCTAATCTTTGCAAATCTACTTCATGGTCTGAATATCCTAGAAGCTCTTACAAAAAGGAGTTTACGTGGTTGTCTTAAATGCTAGAAAGACTTGATCTTATTAATTTTAAATTTAGTGTCCTTCATTTCAGATGACCTAGAAAGGCAGAAAAATGGGTAATAGGTGTTTTGCAGCTTCTGATGTCACTTGAGAAAAGTATTATTTCAAGTCATCCTAGGGAAGAAATTTCTAACTAAATATTCAAGTGTGGTAACCAGCCTTCTTTTGAACAAAGTAAGCCTGCATAGATTTGTATTTTCCTATGTATATTTATATATTCCATAAAAATTAGAATATTGCAGATTTTTTTCCAGCTTAAGAAAACCATTGCTCTGGCTTTGTTTAATTGAAACACAAAGACACAAGAAAGCCTTTGAACTGTCTGGTTCTGGTTGCTGTTAGCCTTAAAAAAAGGCGAAAAATCAAACCAGCCCATACACCTTAAACCCTCAGCCCAAAAAAGATACATCTGACTATGGATTATTAACGCTAATGTACGGATTTTACTTACTCACTTACTCGTAAGTAGACCTAAGTGTTTTAAATTAGGATACATAAAGGTTTGTGCTATTAAGTCTAAGCATTAAACAACTACCTATCACTGGACCCCTCCCCTTAGAATATAACTAGTGTTGTTTTTTTCCAACTCAAAACAATTCTGCATTTTGCTAGATTTGAGTTTTACTATTTGGGTGGCATGTCCAGCACTCTCATCGAGTTTTACTGATTCAAATGACAGTCCTTTGAGTGGTGGGGTTTTATTTTTTTTTCATATATGGCAGCTCTGAATGAGGGAGGACCAGGTATGTTAAATTTCAACCTCCCAGAGAAGTGATATTTTTGTCATATATTAGCCTCATGAACTGGCTTTTTTTCCTTGTGAGTTTTTTGGGAACAAAATGGGCTTTGTGGTGTTTCATAGACCTTGCTCAGTATGGGATTTCAACTGGACACTCCTTTATTCTTCTGATGCCGTCTGTTCCCATCCCAGATATGTTTGGAAGAGGCACTCTTTGGCTTCTAAAAGAATATGTTGTTAAGGAAGTATTACAGTAGTGTTTTGCAAAATCATGAGGATTAATTTCCTGAGAAGGTTACAACCTTAAGCCAGAGCCTTCGAGTTATATGCTTGTTGAATTTTATGAGAGAGTGGTTTTGTAGCCACTGGTTGGAAAATTGTGCTTTGAATAATTATCAGTGGTCTGTGTCAAAACTTGGGACAAACATGGCGGTTTTTCTACAGGAACTTGTCCAGTGCACTTTATTGGTTAAATACTTTATTTAAGTAATGAACGGAAGAGGGAATACCCTTAATTAACTCTCAGATGATAGCAGGTGGGGTTGCCCACTGAGAAATTTGTTGTCTGACAAATTTGGGCTAAAACGGAAATTTCTTCAATTTCATGCAAAGGAGTTCAAAGTAATAGTCTTACTTTGGAATAATCAAATGCTGAAGAGACAATTTTGAAAGCTGCTTGAGCCAAGCAAGGCTATCGCACTCCGCTGTAAAAATAGGACACACCATGCTAGAAGATATGCACAAGTGCCTTGAACGTGAAGCACACAAAACGGGTTTTCTGCGCTGTTCAACAGTGATAAAAAGTGTGCTGGAGTACTTTGGTTTGTGTTTCATTATAGTGTGATTGGCCAGAGGGAGTCAGAAAAAGAAACCAATTACTAGAGCCACTGGTGATAGGATGTAAATAGAGGGAAAAAATAAAAGAAATTGAAAACAAAAATAGCAAGAGAGGCTAAATATTATGAAAGTAATAGAACTTTTTTTTTCCTCTCCCATTCATGCTACGAAATACCAGAGAAGCAGAGCCGTGATTTTGAAGATGAGAACTCAGCAGAACACCAGGTATGGGTGCTACATTGCATCTGTTTTGATGGAGTGTTCCAGGCCAGGCTGGGTGAGGCTTTGAGCAATCTGGCCATCACAGAGGGGTTGGTTCTAGATGATTTTTAAGGTCCCTTCCAACCCCCAACCATCCTATGTCAGTCTCTTTGGGAAAAATGTATTTATGTAGTCAAAAGCTAAGAAATCATTTATGAGCAGATGGTCCTGTACCACGATATCTGGACTGGTTTTCAGCTGTATTATTAGGGTTATTTTGGAGGGGGAGAGAGAGCAGTTGGATATGGGCTCTTCACCACCAAGTGCCTTTTTAGTTAGGCAATATGTGGGTCTAACTTTTTAAATTACTATTTGTAAAATCTGTGTAGTCTAGAATAGCTTCTTTTGACTCAAAGTAAGTGTGTGTATAGACTTGTTAATAAAGGTGGTGTGATTTGGTCAGAATTTGTGGAATACACCTGAGTTTGTTTCACAACCACCACCCCCCAAAAACTGAGCATGTAGTGAAAGCAGAAAATTCTGTGGGCTAATTAATATAGTTTAAGCTACCAGGTATTAAAATTCCTTTCATGTGCTTTTAAGGAATCTTCTGAGAACTCTGGTGCAGATACATCTGATACAGGTGGGTTTTTTTCATTTACTGCTTATCTAACCTTTAATTAACTTTGTTGAGAAAATTGAAGATAGTGAGGTTTTGACCTTGTATTCCCAAATAATTATTTGATTGCATTAATTAGTGGGAACTGCCTTTGACTTGTTTTTAATGTTTATAACTGGTATTATTCAACAGTTTGAGCAAATGAAAACTTGAGTGTTTTTCATAGATTCAGCTATGGCTAGGCAATAGCCAGCAATTAATGGCTGAAAGGGAAGTTGTACTAGAGTGTGTTTAGCTTGGGGTTTAAGTATTCTGGTAATTAATAAGCTTGTTCATCTACATAGCTGACTCTAAGGATGGCAATTTCTTCCCTGTTGAGGTAAATGTTTCCTACAGTCATTTGAGAGGATAATTTCATTTGAATGATAAAATAGTTTCATAATAATATGATAAATAAAATGATAGTTTATCATTTGAATGATAAAATAATTGCTGCCAATTTAGAAAGCACGCCCTTTTTCTCGGCCTGCTCAATGAAAGCTAGGAAAAATATTTCAGAGGCGCCTGTAGCTTGGCTTCTGTAACTTCCTTTGCCTTTTGCACTTGTGGGATAAATGAGTGAAGTGCTTCACAGACTCTGGTATTTTCATAGTAGCATCCAATAAAATGATTATGCGCTTCTCCTCCTCCTCTTACGAATGATCTGCGAAGCGTCTGGTGAGGATTTGTAGAAACCTCTGTGAGTTCCAGCTATCTCCAAATCCTTTAAGATGTAGAAATTAGATTCTTAGGGATATGGGATTTGATTCCTCACCTAAAAAATTGAATGCACTGTGGTGTTTGGGATGTGTGATGTTTTGGCCTTTGGTAGTTTGGGTTGGGTGTTTTCAGGGTCCATTTTCCTTGGTTGGGTTTTGGTGGCTTTTTGATGCATAAAACTTACCAATAGGGCACACTAACTTAAGGGAAGAAATCAGTCTTTAGCTGTTTTAACTAAGGTTTTAGTTTTGGCAGGTGTTTTCCCCTTTTAGTATTCATACAGAATACCTCATACTTCTCAGGGAAGGCAGAGTTTCTTCCAGGTATTATCCACTATTTTTGTGTTGAAAGTGTGCAAAGCTTGTCTACAGCAGGCAAAAGTCAAGTGGAGCAGCTCTCACCTGGGCCTGCAAGTCTGTCCTTAATAGGGAAAGTTATTAGGATTACCATTTCTTGCTTTCTCAGGAAGTAGCATGGCAGAGTAAATCTAACAATTACTTGTATCCAGCAGGGTCCTATCACAGTGGACTGAATTAATTTGGAGAAAGGGATAGATAAGTTATAACTTAGAGAATGAGAGTGTTTTGGATGTACCTCCTGTGAAATAGCTTTCTATAATAAAGGTCATATTTTTGAGAGAGGAAGGTGGAAGTTGTCTTTCTTCCTCTCTGTTCTCCCTTTGAGGCGCAAAGGTGTTACTGAATTTCCCTTTTGGCCTTTAAGACCACTTTTGGATTCCCTGGAGAAAATACTTTTATTTTTCCATTCTGTGCCATGGCCCACTGCTAATTACTGACATGTTCCAGTGATTTGGAAGTATGATTGCCAGCACATTGAAGATATTCTAAAATTAGATTTTTGAGGACTCACACTTAGAAGAATTTTCCACTTGTATAGAAATCAACTCATGCTCTGATGCAAGTTATTTGTTAATAATTTATAATTGCTGTGATGGGGTCAACTATTGTGTGACACAGGAGTTGTTCCCTTTATCTCGAGAAGCGCCCATTTTTGTAGCAGTCCAGTCTGTTCACCTGGATGAACATTTAGGAAGCAATCTGACAGGTTTGTGCCCAATTGAGCTGGAGGAAGAAGATTGTATGGCAGAAAGAGAAACAGCAATGTAAGAGTAGTATGACGAGGCAGTGATGTGGTAGTATGATAACCAAGATTTCTTTCACTCACGATTTCCAGGGTTATGCTCCTCTCTTTTTCCTTCCCTCTGATGAGTGCAGGGAAGTTCAGAAATCGGGGGTGAAAATGCAGTCATATATTTGATGCTCATGGATGACTGATTTTAGCTAATGATGAATTGGAAGGTCTGCCTACATTGAGGAAAACAATGTTTTGTTGCATTTCATTCACAAAACCACCCACAGAATACCTAAAACTGAGTGACCAGAGTCTGTCTTGTTTTTTCATATTCTCAAGTCTGCGTTATTTCTCACTTTGTGAGTCCTGAGGTGGTCTTGACAACCAAAAGCTACTGAGAGGAAGTGTGAGAGAAAATCCTGGCTATCTTTGTTGGCATATTTAGGAATGCAGTGGGGATTGTGCATTAATGATTAATGAATCTTAGAGAGCCACAAAAGAAAGAGCTTTAAAAATGTTTTACTCTCTGAGATGTTTAATAGAAGTCGTAAAGAACTGATGGCAAACAAGTTTTCTTAACCCTTCTTTGCTCCGCTGAAGTCATTTATGGAGCCACAAACCATGCTTTTCAATTGGAATTGGAATGGAAATGTAATACAGTTAAAAGTTACAGCGTAGAGAACTGTTTTCTAGAATGAAAACGGTGTAGTCAATAACTTGCACAGTGTGTGTTTAAAAACATTTCTGTTTTGAGTTCAGCTATGTTTGATTTAATATTTACCTTCAAATTGCAGGTGAAGAAGGTGGTGACGTAGCCTCAGTAGGAAGAAAATTTGAAGGAATTCATCTCAAGGTAAAAATTTTGGGTGTCTAATAGAATGTAGTGATTCAAAAGAAGCTAGTTACTATTTGAATAGTTTACACATGCCTGATGAGCTGATGCAGTCAGCAGAAGACTTGATATCGTCTGCATCTTAATGCACATTTTTGGCAAGTGAGGGGTTCAATAAGTAGCGTCACAGAGACCAATCAATGACAAGTGATGTTCTTGTCTTGCTAATACCAGTGGGCCAGAGAAAGGCCTACAATGTATTGCATCAGGAGGCAGCCCTGAGAAGGGCTTTTATAGGTAAGGAAAAAGAGAAAGCAGATGGATCATAAGGTGAAAACGCTTGTAAAAGAATGGTCGTTCCCCTGAGAGTCTAGCATAAATAGGTAACATGATTGGAAGCAAATGGTAAATGAGCAGTAATGGCTGCCATAACAAAAGCAGGCTGGAATCTTCTGCTGTTGCTTCCCAAACTAGACTAGGGTCAGGACTAGCCGGACTATTTACAGTGTTGAGGAAAAAATATAACACGCACTTTGTGTGTGCAGCCATTTTAATCCTGTGGTTTGCTTCCTCCAATAGCGTTGCCAAAAATGGGATTTACAACAGCTAATACAATCTGCTTCAGAAAGGAGATTGTTTCCAGTTGCTTCCAGAGATTGCTTCCAGTTTGACTAATGAATGGCCTTTTATTCCAAAATTCTCTTAGGTTTTACATTGAGAGTAGTTGCAGAGTAGACCTTCATTTGTATATGACTTCACACGGAATGTTGGGAATACAAGTAGAGATTTGCAGCTGTAATTGTCAGAGCTTTGTAACCATTTTTCTTTCTTCCTCTTTCCTTTATTGGATTGGGATCTTTGATGGTTTTCATCAGAGGATCTTTTAGGCAGTGTGTGCTGTTCCTCGAATATACTTGTTTATTATCCCTTTTTAAAATATTTTCACAGGTAGTTCCTTCTATGGATTGTGGTGGGGTTTTTTTGGCTGGGGGGCAGGTGGGGAGGCAGATTTTTGCCTAAAATGTGTACATAAAAATAAGTTTATGCAGGTTGCATATGGCCTGATCTGAAGAGCACTTGTTTGCAGTAAATCAGAATAATCATTTTGGAGTTGCCTGTGCCAATAAGTTCCATGTGTTTTAATAATTTTGTTTTCCTTTTAGAATCTGAATGTAGATGATGGCCAAATCTTGAAGAAAAAAAGAGTTCCAGTGGATGTGATATTACAAGGTGATGAGAGAAATATTCCCAAATGGATAACGGTGAGATATTTCTCCTATTCTAAGTTATGAGCTAGTTAGAATAAAATAAAAGCTCTTTAACTGGGTAGCAGTTAAATGCATTTTCACACAACTTCTCTGTGCTTCTCCCATTGTTCTTCTGCTTGATGTCTGTGTAGATATTGTAGGATCTTGGGGTTTTGAGAGCTATGAAATGTAAGAAACAAAGGAAATGTTTTATTAAATGTATTTTCTCTTGTGTTTTACTTTTATATGGTGTTCTTGGAACCCTGATGTGCAGGTTGATTTTTGAGCTGTTAATTTTCCTAAAAGTCTAAATCTGAGCTTTGTAGAGGCTCAAAGAAAAAGAATTAGCTTTGTTTTGATTTGGGGAGTGAGGAAGGTCAGGGTGAAGTGTCAGGATGCAGCTTCTCTTTTCTGCTGGAGCTGCCAGAGATGTGTAGATTACTCAAGTGTGTGTGTGTAGATATATATCGATGGATAAGTTCTTATATTTGGGGTAGGGATTAGTACATGACGTGTAACGTGTAAGTTGAAAAAATTATGAATAGCTTTCCAAGACTAAACTAGTAAGTCCTTAAACTTTCTATTGAAGCCTTAGACTAGATGTTTTCCACTTTGTCTGAACTTGGTTGAGCCCTTGAAGACCATAACTACTGTACATGACCCATAAGAGCAAGAGGCAAGGAAGTCACAAGTTAGGTTTTGATGATATCTTTAACATGCAAAAAGCTCAGAACATTAGATTGTTTTTTTCTTTCTATGTTTTTCAGATAACAACTCCTCCCAGTTTGTCAAAAAGTCATCGTTCAGCTTTGCCCGGACGAGAACTGCTTGGTACAATTAAGTCTTTTGTCTGTTGGTCAAATGTATTTCTTTAAAATGTGGCTTTATTAAAATTTCTTAGAAAGAGTATTTCATTTCTTGGGAGGTTTTGCCGTTATATCTCCATATAATTACTTGATTGCTTTCATTAGTGGCCAAAGATTTTGTCTGGCTTTTTGTAATATGTTAAACTGGTATTATTCAACATTTTTGATTCTTGAGCAAATGAAAACTTCCAGTGTTTTTCTTAGATTCAGCTATGGCTTGGAAGTAGCCAGCATTAACGGCTGAAAGAGAAGTTGCAGTAAAGTATATGATTAGCTTGGGGTTTATGCATTCTGGTATTCAATTAGCTTGCTCATCTACATAGCTGCCTCTAAGATGGCAATTACTTCTGTGTTAAGGGCAATGCTTCCTACTGTCATTTGAGAGGATAGTTTCAAATAAGCATGTGAATGATAAAATAATTGCTGCCAATTTAGAAAGCACGCCCTTTTTCTCGGCCTGCTCAATGAAAGCTAGGAAAAATATTTCAGAGGTGCCTGGGTGCCTGTAGCTTGGCTTCTGTAACTTCCTTTGCTTTTTGTACTTGTGGGATAAGTGAGTGAAGTGCTTCAGACTCTGGTATTTTCATAGCAGCATCCAATAAAATGATTATGTGCTTCTCCTTCTCCTCTTACCATACACCTGACAGTAAGAACTCCTTAAAGCTACAATGTTTACATACTGTATGTTTAGACTTAGTAAGGCATGCAACTGTTGGCAGCTACAGAATATTTTAAGTGTGACGGATACTGAATTTTACTAAGGTTCACAAATGTGTGTCGTTTTATATGTAGTTTTCAGTATAATACCAAGAATTTACTCCTATGTGCACTTTTAGTTTATTGCATGCCCAATTTTAGACAAGATAATTGTTATTAGCAAGATTCAGGATAAAAAAAATGGGTAATGTATGGGTGACTTGTAGGAAGAATCAAAATGGAGAAGCCTGCGAGGAAGCAAAGGGATTGGTTGGCATGAATGGATTGTGTTATTTTCATCTCCACTTAGTATTCTGAATACTGCTCTGATAAATTACTGCTATGCCAAGCACCAGGGTGGAGTAGATGGACACTTTACTTAACTTTTCATTGAATGTTCCCATGTGGCTAGCATGAATCCAAGCCATGTGGGCCCCTGACAATATTTATCCAGTTTTTCATTGTAATGGTTGATGCATTATAGGGCAATAATGCTTGTGGAAAGCTTATTGAGGGGAAACATGCTATTGTTTTAAAATAGATTCTATATAAATATGGGTTTGAGTGGGACTTGTGACTTAGTATCTTGGTGGCTTTCCTGGGAAATTAAATGTTTCTGGCAGGTTTTATTATCACTGAAATGAGAATTATGATATGTCAGGGCTTGGTGCTGGCTAAAAGCCCGTGCATCTACAAAAAAAAATCATTCCTTCTGCTCTGCTATAGTTGAGCAGAGGAGGAGGAAAGAAGAATTAAAAAGCTCATGGGGTGAGATAAGGAATGGGATAAAAACACTTTAAACGGTATAAAGGAAAATTTATTTACAGAATCAAAAAGATGATAATGAGAACTAAAACCTTTAGAATACTTCCTCCCCCCCCATCCCCTGCCTTTTTTTATTTCTCACTGAGAGCATAGGAAGACAAAAGTATGGGGGTTTTTTGTGAGAGTGTCGCTTGTAAAACTTGTTCTTCAGTTCACTTAGGGAGAGGAGTCTCTTTTGCTATGCCATGGGGTCCTTTCTATGGGAAGGAGTTTTCTGTGAAATTTTTAACGTGGTTTTAGTTTTTACAGGTTGCAGTCACACCTGAAAGCTCCTTTGACGTGTGTCAACGGGCAGAGTAGACTTCTCACAACTGCCTTTTCCCCCTGGGCCATTAGTTCATGGTCTGCAATTTGTAAGGATGAGCTGTTGTAGTATAAAAGCGAGTGTCCTCTTCCTCTGTCTCTGAAAGCAAGGGCTCTCCCTCTCTCTCTCTTCTTAGGCCGCTCACAGATCACAGCTTCTCAGCACGTCCACCTTTTTTTCTATGGGATTCAGGTGCATTCTCCATCCTTCTAGGCACTTCATTAATTACAGGGAAATAATTTGTAGTATTGTAATCTTCACCACAGCTTGTAGAAGAATTTCAGCTCTGAGGCGTGGGTCTCTTCTTCCTCCCCATCCCTCCTTTGCACTGGCTTTAGCATCACTGTTGTATTCTCCACGTGTCTTCACCTTTCCCTTTTTTTTTGGATTTGGGAGAGAGTTGGTGTTTGTAGGTTTGTCTGTTCTCGAGTCCTATCATTTGAGAAGATTTTGCAGAGTTCTGCAATGTTGAAAGGTGGATCCCGTCCGGGCTCTGCGTGAGAGAATTGCTTGTTGTGAAGGCGAGGTCCCCGCCGGCTGCATTTCGCACCTTCTCTTCACGTGGGCACCGGCAAGGAAAAGCCGCCACCGCCGCCCTGGCCCCTGTGTCTGCAGCGCGGCTGCCTAGGAGCGGCCAAGGGAACCGAGTTCATTGTGAGCCCTGCCAAGATAGCAGCGGCCCCGGTCGCCAATTCCAGATGCGCGTTCCCGGCCACGTGGCCGCTCCCGGCGCTGGTCTCGGCCGCGTGGTTCCTCGCCGTGCCTGACGGGCCCGCAGCACGGCCCTGCAGGCTCCACCAGGAAAGGGAGCGGCACCACTCCTCGGAGACCACAGAGATAGAGAGCCCTCGCAGTTTTTCTGCTTCTTAAATACATTGTCGTAGAGGCATTACCAGCTTCTCTAATTGGCTTAGCAGCATGCCTCTTCTCAGAGCCAGCCAGCAATTAGTTTTGCCAGGCACAGGAGAAGCTTTCGGCAGCTCTTCCCAGAAAATCACTTCTGTGACTGGCCTTCTCCCTCTTCACCTAAAATCAAGTCCCATAAAAACTACCACATTCATGAATTGCCGTCTCAGTTTTTATAGCTTACTGGAGAGATCGAGGAAGTACCAGTTGTGCACCAAAGGTTTTTACAGACTGGCAGGCTTGCATTTCATACACGTTATCCAATGGGAGAAGGAGGAAGCATTCGTAGAGTACTGTAATAGACAGCTTTGCATTGGTAAAGGATTGGTTATGCTTTTGGGTTAGTGATCTCTGTTCAAAATGGAAGGAATTATGGATCTCGGTCCCCAAAGAGCCTTAATTATGGCTTTAACTAACCTCAGATACCATGGAGTCTGCATTCATCAACTAAAATCTAGAACCTAAAATCTTTTGCCTCTTTTCTCCTCTTGGTAGATTATGGGGCTATAATGCTCTTTGGATTTTAGCTCCGTCTTGTTAGACTCAGCATATGTGATGATCTTTTATGTCTTGCTTGACTTCTCAACTTGAATTGCCATATTCTCCTGGTTTGTCTTCCTTTAAATTTTTATTTCAGCAAATGTGGTAGTAGACAGTTCAGATTTGCTAATGCTTTGTTATTGTGTAATATGTCGTTCCCAAATGTTTGTTAGAATGATATTCAGTCTAGATGGTATTATGATAAGTGGTAATATTATTGCTTTTTGTTTTTTTCTAGGACCTAAACGATGGGACCATATGTCAAGGAAAGACGTTAAAACCTGGAAGAAAGGATTTACGGTATTTAATAGTACAGTCCTACTGTGCAGCCAAAATGCAGCAATATTTCTTTGTGGATGTATAGATAGATAGGATTATATTCTAATTTTGCCATGCTATATAATATTTTCAGAGGTATTGAGGAGGTCATCATCTGCTCTACAATAGAGTTTTAGGATAGTTTAAGATGCTTCCGATGCATCTAGCTAAAATGGCTGACTATTTATCATTGGTTAGCACTTGTAAACCTGGAGAAATTTTTTTTTCAATTGCTGTCTGTTGGGAGTGTGTATTTTTGGAACTCATCAGAATGTATTCTGTGCAGTTACTGCATTGAATCAATTTATCTTTGTTCAGCCAGTCAGCTCTTTGATTCAGCAGGGGTTTCTGGTTTCATCTTTAGTTTCTGGTTTTTTTCTCTGTGGAATAATGCCAGATTAATTAAAGAATCTTTGCAGTCTCACCAGTCAGTGTGTCAGGTAAACCCATGGCCTGTATGACATGCCTTGGCAGTACCTCAGAAGCTGTTCTGAACCCCACAGAGTGAGGGCATGAGGAATGAAATTCAGTCTGAGGCAACATGAGTGGATTTAATGGAGACCAAAACGAGGCTGTATTTAGGGTTCCCTTTCCACTCCTGGTAATGCCTCGTGCACAGTCTACTAAGCATTGCTGCCCAAGTTTCCCAACCAAATCCATAAAAGACTGTGAGGGAAATTCTCTGTCTTAGCCTCTTATGTGGGCACAGGTATGTTCTTGTAAATAAATACAATGGTTAAAATTACTTTGCTATTCTTTGATTATTCTGACTTTTTTTTTCCTATTGCAGCATGTTGGTCAAAGGCCAAGGAGCACAGGTAGTGTTTTTTTTTTTTTTAAATCTTAATATTTTACGACATTCATCTGAAAAGCTTTTATTTGGCGCACAAGAGGACAAAGCACTGCCTAGCACGGTCTTCCTCCACAGCACTGCCAAAAAAGTTTGTCCATATGGTGGTCAGATACAGGCTTTGAATCAGCTTAAGAAATCTGAATGTAGAGCTGGAAAATAAGGGTCTGGTACAAAAAGTTTCAGATGGTCCTGACCTTTACTTCTTGTTCCATTTGGCTAATGGGGCAAAGTAGTACAAAAATGTGGCTATAGTCTCTGATAAAACATGGAAAGAAAGTTAGACTTTTTTCAAAGATACAGTATTTCAAGTTTCTTAGAATAAATATTTTGCTAATCTTTGCAAATCTACTTCATGGTCTGAATATCCTAGAAGCTCTTACAAAAAGGAGTTTATGTGGTTGTCTTAAATGCTAGAAAGTCTTGATCTTATTAATTTTAAACTTAGTGTCCTCCATTTCAGATGACCTAGAAAGGCAGAAAAATGGGTAATAGGTGTTTTGCAGCTTCTGATGTTACTTGAGAAAAGTATTATTTCAAGTCATCCTAGGGAAGAAATTTCTAACTAAATATTCAAGGGTGGTAATCAGCCTTCTTTTGAACAAAGTAAGCCTGCATAGATTTGTATTTTCCTATGTATATTTATATATTCCATAAAAATTAGAATATTGCAGATTTTTTTCCAGCTTAAGAAAACCATTGCTCTGGCTTTGTTTAATTGAAACACAAAGACACATGAAAGTCTTTGAACTGTCTGGTTTTGGTTGGTGTTAGCCTTAAAAAAAGCCAAAAATCAAACCAGCCCATACACCTTAAACCCTCAGCCCAAAAAAGATACGTCTGACTATGGATTATTAATGCTAATGTACGGATTTTACTTACTCACTTACTCTTAAGTAGACCTAAGTGTTTTAAATTAGGATACATAAAGGTTTGTGCTATTAAGTCTAAGCATTAAACAACTACCTATCACTGGACCCCTCCCCTTAGAATATAACTAGTGTTGTTTTTTTCCAACTCACAATTCTGCATTTTGCTAGATTTGAGTTTTACTATTTGGGTGGCATGTCCAGCACCCTCATCGAGTTTTACTGATTCAAATGACAGTCCTTTGAGTGGTGGGGTTTTATTTTTTTTTCATATATGGCAGCTCTGAATGAGGGAGGACCAGGTATGTTAAATTTCAACCTCCCAGAGAAGTGATATTTTTGTCATATATTAGCCACATGAATTGGCTTTTTTTCCTTGTGAGTTTTTTGGGAACAAAATGGGCTTTGTGGTGTTTCATAGACCTTGCTCAGTAAGGGATTTCAACTGGACACTCCTTTATTCTTCTGATGCCGTCTGTTCCCATCCCAGATATGTTTGGAAGAGGCACTCTTTGGCTTCTAAAAGAATATGTTGTTAAGGAAGTATTACAGTAGTGTTTTGCAAAATCATGAGGATTAATTTCCTGAGAAGGTTACAACCTTAAGCCAGAGCCTTCGAGTTATATGCTTGTTGAATTTTATGAGAGAGTGGTTTTGTAGCCACTGGTTGGAAAATTGTGCTTTGAATAATTATCAGTGGTCTGTGTCAAAACTTGGGACAAACATGGCGGTTTTTCTACAGGACTTGTTCTGTGCACTTTATTGGTTAAATACTTTATTTAAGTAATGAACGGAAGAGGGAATACCCTTAATTAACTCTCAGATGATAGCAGGTGGGGTTGCCCACTGAGAAATTTGTTGTCTGACAAATTTGGGCTAAAACGGAAATTTCTTCAATTTCATGCAAAGGAGTTCAAAGTAATAGTCTTACTTTGGAATAATCAAATGCTGAAGAGACAATTTTGAAAGCTGCTTGAGCCAAGCAAGGCTATCGCACTCCGCTGTAAAAATAGGACACACCATGCTAGAAGATATGCACAAGTGCCTTGAACGTGAAGCACACAAAACGGGTTTTCTGCGCTGTTCAACAGTGATAAAAAGTGTGCTGGAGTACTTTGGTTTGTGTTTCATTATAGTGTGATTGGCCAGAGGGAGTCAGAAAAAGAAACCAATTACTAGAGCCACTGGTGATAGGACGTAAATAGAGGGAAAAAATAAAAGAAATTGAAAACAAAAATAGCAAGAGAGGCTAAATATTATGAAAGTAATAGAACTTTTTTTTTCCTCTCCCATTCATGCTACGAAATACCAGAGAAGCAGAGCCGTGATTTTGAAGATGAGAACTCAGCAGAACACCAGGTATGGGTGCTACATTGCATCTGTTTTGATGGAGTGTTCCAGGCCAGGCTGGGTGAGGCTTTGAGCAATCTGGCCATCACAGAGGGGTTGGTTCTAGATGATTTTTAAGGTCCCTTCCAACCCCCAACCATCCTATGTCAGTCTCTTTGGGAAAAATGTATTTATGTAGTCAAAAGCTAAGAAATCATTTATGAGCAGATGGTCCTGTACCACGATATCTGGACTGGTTTTCAGCTGTATTATTAGGGTTATTTTGGAGGGGGAGAGAGAGCAGTTGGATATGGGCTCTTCACCACCAAGTGCCTTTTTAGTTAGGCAATATGTGGGTCTAACTTTTTAAATTACTATTTGTAAAATCTGTGTAGTCTAGAATAGCTTCTTTTGACTCAAAGTAAGTGTGTGTATAGACTTGTTAATAAAGGTGGTGTGATTTGGTCAGAATTTGTGGAATACACCTGAGTTTGTTTCACAACCACCACCCCCCAAAAACTGAGCATGTAGTGAAAGCAGAAAATTCTGTGGGCTAATTAATATAGTTTAAGCTACCAGGTATTAAAATTCCTTTCATGTGCTTTTAAGGAATCTTCTGAGAACTCTGGTGCAGATACATCTGATACAGGTGGGTTTTTTTCATTTACTGCTTATCTAACCTTTAATTAACTTTGTTGAGAAAATTGAAGATAGTGAGGTTTTGACCTTGTATTCCCAAATAATTATTTGATTGCATTAATTATTGGGAACTGCCTTTGACTTGTTTTTAATGTTTATAACTGGTATTATTCAACAATTTGAGCAAATGAAAACTTGTAGTGTTTTTCGTAGATTCAGCTATGGCTAGGCAATAGCCAGCAGTTAATGGCTGAAAGGGAAGTTGTACTAGAGTGTGTTTAGCTTGGGGTTTAAGTATTCTGGTAATTAATAAGCTTGTTCATCTACATAGCTGACTCTAAGGATGGCAATTTCTTCCCTGTTGAGGTAAATGTTTCCTACAGTCATTTGAGAGGATAGTTTCAAATAAGCATGTGAATGATAAAATAATTGCTGCCAATTTAGAAAGCACGCCCTTTTTCTCGGCCTGCTCAATGAAAGCTAGGAAAAATATTTCAGAGGCGCCTGTAGCTTGGCTTCTGTAACTTCCTTTGCCTTTTGCACTTGTGGGATAAATGAGTGAAGTGCTTCACAGACTCTGGTATTTTCATAGTAGCATCCAATAAAATGATTATGCGCTTCTCCTCCTCCTCTTACGAATGGTCTGTGAAGCGTCTGGTGAGGATTTGTAGAAACCTCTGTGAGTTCCAGCTATCTCCAAATCCTTTAAGATGTAGAAATTAGATTCTTAGGGATATGGGATTTGATTCCTCACCTAAAAAATTGAGAGTGCACTGTGGTGTTTGGGATGTGTGATGTTTTGGCCTTTGGTAGTTTGGGTTGGGTGTTTTCAGGGTCCGTTTTCCTTGGTTGGGTTTTGGTGGCTTTTTGATACATAAAAGCTTACCAATAGGGCACACTAACTTAAGGGAAGAAATCAGTCTTTAGCTGTTTTAACTAAGGTTTTAGTTTTGGCAGGTGTTTTCCCCTTTTAGTATTCATACAGAATACCTCATACTTCTCAGGGAAGGCAGAGTTTCTTCCAGGTATTATCCACTATTTTTGTGTTGAAAGTGTGCAAAGCTTGTCTACAGCAGGCAAAAGTCAAGTGGAGCAGCTCTCACCTGGGCCTGCAAGTCTGTCCTTAATAGGGAAAGTTATTAGGATTACCATTTCTTGCTTTCTCAGGAAGTAGCATGGCAGAGTAAATCTAACAATTACTTGTATCTAGCAGGATCCTATCACAGTGGACTGAATTATTTTGGAGAAAGGGATAGATAAGTTATAACTTAGAGAATGAGAGTGTTTTGGATGCACCTCCTGTGAAATAGCTTTCTGTAATAAAGGTCATATTTTTGAGAGAGGAAGGTGGAAGTTGTCTTTCTTCCTCTCTGTTTCTGCCTTTGAGATGCAAAGTGTTACTGAATTTCCCTTTTGGCCTTTAAGACCACTTTTGGATTCCCTGGAGAAAATACTTTTATTTTTCCATTCTGTGCCATGGCCCACTGCTAATTACTGACATGTTCCAGTGATTTGGAAGTATGATTGTCAGCACATTGAAGATATTCTAAAATTAGATTTTTGAGGACTCACACTTAGAAGAATTTTCCACTTGTATAGAAATCAACTCATGCTCTGATGCAAGTTATTTGTTAATAATTTATAATTGCTGTGATGGGGTCAACTATTGTGTGACACAGGAGTTGTTCCCTTTATCTCGAGAAGCGCCCATTTTTGTAGCAGTCCAGTCTGTTCACCTGGATGAACATTTAGGAAGCAATCTGACAGGTTTGTGCCCAATTGAGCTGGAGGAAGAAGATTGTATGGCAGAAAGAGAAACAGCAATGTAAGAGTAGTATGACGAGGCAGTGATGTGGTAGTATGATAACCAAGATTTCTTTCACTCACGATTTCCAGGGTTATGCTCCTCTCTTTTTCCTTCCCTCTGATGAGTGCAGGGAAGTTCAGAAATCGGGGGTGAAAATGCAGTCATATATTTGATGCTCATGGATGACTGATTTTAGCTAATGATGAATTGGAAGGTCTGCCTACATTGAGGAAAACAATGTTTTGTTGCATTTCATTCACAAAACCACCCACAGAATACCTAAAACTGAGTGACCAGAGTCTGTCTTGTTTTTTCATATTCTCAAGTCTGCGTTATTTCTCACTTTGTGAGTCCTGAGGTGGTCTTGACAACCAAAAGCTACTGAGAGGAAGTGTGAGAGAAAATCCTGGCTATCTTTGTTGGCATATTTAGGAATGCAGTGGGGATTGTGCATTAATGATTAATGAATCTTAGAGAGCCACAAAAGAAAGAGCTTTAAAAATGTTTTACTCTCTGAGATGTTTAATAGAAGTCGTAAAGAACTGATGGCAAACAAGTTTTCTTAACCCTTCTTTGCTCCGCTGAAGTCATTTATGGAGCCACAAACCATGCTTTTCAATTGGAATTGGAACGGAAATGTAATACAGTTAAAAGTTACAGCGTAGAGAACTGTTTTCTAGAATGAAAACGGTGTAGTCAATAACTTGCACAGTGTGTGTTTAAAAACATTTCTGTTTTGAGTTCAGCTATGTTTGATTTAATATTTACCTTCAAATTGCAGGTGAAGAAGGTGGTGACGTAGCCTCAGTAGGAAGAAAATTTGAAGGAATTCATCTCAAGGTAAAAATTTTGGGTGTCTAATAGAATGTAGTGATTCAAAAGAAGCTAGTTACTATTTGAATAGTTTACACATGCCTGATGAGCTGATGCAGTCAGCAGAAGACTTGATATTGTCTGCATCACATTTAATGCACATTTTTGGCAAGTGAGGGGTTCAATAAGTAGCGTCACAGAGACCAATCAATGACAAGTGATGTTCTTGTCTTGCTAATACCAGTGGGCCAGAGAAAGGCCTACAATGTATTGCATCAGGAGGCAGCCCTGAGAAGGGCTTTTATAGGTAAGGAAAAAGAGAAAGCAGATGGATCATAAGGTGAAAACGCTTGTAAAAGAATGGTCGTTCACCTGAGAGTCTAGCATAAATAGGTAACATGATTGGAAGCAAATGGTAAATGAGCAGTAATGGCTGCCATAACAAAAGCAGGCTGGAATCTTCTGCTGTTGCTTCCCAAACTAGACTAGGGTCAGGACTAGCCGGACTGTTTACAGTGTTGAGGAAAAATATAACACGCACTTTGTGTGTGCAGCCATTTTAATCCTGTGGTTTGCTTCCTCCAATAGCGTTGCCAAAAATGGGATTTACAACAGCTAATACAATCTGCTTCAGAAAGGAGATTGTTTCCAGTTGCTTCCAGAGATTGCTTCCAGTTTGACTAATGAATGGCCTTTTATTCCAAAATTCTCTTAGGTTTTACATTGAGAGTAGTTGCAGAGTAGACCTTCATTTGTATATGACTTCACACGGAATGTTGGGAATACAAGTAGAGATTTGCAGCTGTAATTGTCAGAGCTTCGTAACCATTTTTCTTTCTTCCTCTTTCCTTTATTGGATTGGATTTTTGATGGTTTTCATCAGAGGATCTTTTAGGCAGTGTGTGCTGTTCCTCGAATATACTTGTTTATTATCCCTTTTTAAAATATTTTCACAGGTAGTTCCTTCTATGGAATTGTTGTGGGGTTTTTTTTTGGCTGGGGGGCAGGTGGGGAGGCAGATTTTTGCCTAAAATGTGTACATAAAAATAAGTTTTTGCAGGTTGCATATAGCCTGATCTGAAGAGCACTTGTTTGCAGTAAATCAGAATAATCATTTTGGAGTTGCCTGTGCCAATAAGTTCCATGTGTTTTAATAATTTTGTTTTCCTTTTAGAATCTGAATGTAGATGATGGCCAAATCTTGAAGAAAAAAAGAGTTCCAGTGGATGTGATATTACAAGGTGATGAGAGAAATATTCCCAAATGGATAACGGTGAGATATTTCTCCTATTCTAAGTTATGAGCTAGTTAGAATAAAATAAAAGCTCTTTAACTGGGTAGCAGTTAAATGCATTTTCACACAACTTCTCTGTGCTTCTCCCATTGTTCTTCTGCTTGATGTCTGTGTAGATATTGTAGGATCTTGGGGTTTTGAGAGCTATGAAATGTAAGAAACAAAGGAAATGTTTTATTAAATGTATTTTCTCTTGTGTTTTACTTTTATATGGTGTTCTTGGAACCCTGATGTGCAGGTTGATTTTTGAGCTGTTAATTTTCCTAAAAGTCTAAATCTGAGCTTTGTAGAGGCTCAAAGAAAAAGAATTAGCTTTGTTTTGATTTGGGGAGTGAGGAAGGTCAGGGTGAAGTGTCAGGATGCAGCTTCTCTTTTCTGCTGGAGCTGCCAGAGATGTGTAGATTACTCAAGTGTGTGTGTGTAGATATATATCGATGGATAAGTTCTTATATTTGGGGTAGGGATTAGTACATGACGTGTAACGTATAAGTTGAAAAAATTATGAATAGCTTTCCAAGACTAAACTAGTAAGTCCTTAAACTTTCTATTGAAGCCTTAGACTAGATGTTTTCCACTTTGTCTGAACTTGGTTGAGCCCTTGAAGACCATAACTACTGTACATGACCCATAAGAGCAAGAGGCAAGGAAGTCACAAGTTAGGTTTTGATGATATCTTTAACATGCAAAAAGCTCAGAACATTAGATTGTTTTTTTCTTTCTATGTTTTTCAGATAACAACTCCTCCCAGTTTGTCAAAAAGTCGTCGTTCAACTTTGCCCGGACGAGAACTGCTTGGTACAATTAAGTCTTTTGTCTGTTGGTTAAATGTATTTCTTTAAAAATGTGGCTTTATTAAAATTTCTTAGAAAGAGTATTTCATTTCTTGGGAGGTTTTGCCGTTATATCTCCATATAATTACTTGATTGCTTTCATTAGTGGCCAAAGATTTTGTCTGGCTTTTTGTAATATGTTAAACTGGTATTATTCAACATTTTTGATTCTTGAGCAAATGAAAACTTCCAGTGTTTTTCTTAGATTCAGCTATGGCTTGGAAGTAGCCAGCATTAACGGCTGAAAGAGAAGTTGCAGTAAAGTATATGATTAGCTTGGGGTTTATGCATTCTGGTATTCAATTAGCTTGCTCATCTACATAGCTGCCTCTAAGGATGGCAATTACTTCTGTGTTAAGGGCAATGCTTCCTACTGTCATTTGAGAGGATAGTTTCAAATAAGCATGTGAATGATAAAATAATTGCTGCCAATTTAGAAAGCACGCCCTTTTTCTCGGCCTGCTCAATGAAAGCTAGGAAAAATATTTCAGAGGTGCCTGTAGCTTGGCTTCTGTAACTTCCTTTGCTTTTTGTACTTGTGGGATAAGTGAGTGAAGTGCTTCAGACTCTGGTATTTTCATAGCAGCATCCAATAAAATGATTATGTGCTTCTCCTTCTCCTCTTACCATACACCTGACAGTAAGAACTCCTTAAAGCTACAATGTTTACATACTGTATGTGCAGCCCTTTTTGAAACTTAGGAGCTACGTGGGCATATTAAAAAATGTGTACTAAAATAATCTCTTGAAGTACCATAATGGGCTGTCCATAATTTAGGAGATTATTCAGTGCAGTCAGTTAATCAGGATGTCTCCAGGAAAAAGGAGCATACAGTTACTTTATTGGGAATCAAGTTCCAGAATAGAAACCAAAACATGTCAGTACACCCAAGCATAGATATGATACTACTTGGATGGGATGTGTGACATCTGAACATTCTTCTGAAAAGGAGCTATATGTTCCAATAAAATATATATCTCTCCTGGGATAAGTGATCGGGGAGAAATTTTTCTGGTGTAGTAGAGTGAATCACACAGACTCACTAGATTGGGAGAGACCTTCAAGATCACTGAGTCCAGGCCATGCCCCAACACCTCAACTAGACCATGGCACCAAGTGCCACATCCAGTCTTTTTTAAACACATTGAGGGATATAGTGACTCCACTACCTCCCTGAGCAGACTGTTCTGGTCTTTATCACTCTTCCCATATAAACCTTTCTCCTGATATCCAACCTGGATTTCCCTTGACATAGCTTGAGACTGTCTCCTCTGGTTCTGTCCATTGCTGACAGGAGAGAGAGACCAACCCCCACCTGGCTACAGCCACCTTTCAGGAAGTTGTTGAGAGTGATAAGGTCACCTCTGAGTCTCCTTTTCTCCAGGCTAAGCACCCCCAGCTCCCTCAGTCACTCCTCACAGGGTTTGTGTTCCAAGCCCCTCACCAGCCTCGTTGCCTCCTCTGGATGCGCTCAAGTGTCTCAAGGTCCTTCCCAAACTGAGGGGCCAGAACTGGACACAGCCCTCAAGGTGTGGCCTCACCAGTGCCAAGTACAGGGGAAGGATGACCTCCCTGCTCCTGCTGGCCACACTGTTCCTGATACAGGCCAGGATGCCCTTGGTCTTCTTGGCCACCAGGGCTCACTGCTGGCTCATGTTCATGTCAGCCAGTACCCCCAGGTCCCTTTCTGCCTGGGCACTGTCCAGCCACTGTCCCCAGCCTGTAGTGTTGCAGGGCGTTATTGTGGCCAAAATGCCACCATGTCACCTTCACAAAATGAAGGCATGTTGGGCTCAATTCTCTCAAGGTTGTGTAGTCAGCTTCTTTTGGTGTTATTTTATGACATTTGTCTGAGAAACTTTTATTTGGAGCACAAGAGGACAAAGCACTGCCTAGCACGATCTTCCTCCACAGCACTGCCAAAAAAGTTTGTCCATACAGTGGTCAGATACAGGCTTTGAATCAGCTTAAGAAATCTGAATGTAGAGCTGGAAAATAAGGGTCTGGTACAAAAAGTTTCAGATGGTCCTGATCTTTACTTCTTGTTCCATTTGGCTAATGGGGCAAAGTAGTACAAAAATGTGGCTATAGTCTCTGATAAAACATGGAAAGAAAGTTAGACTTTTTTCAAAGATACAGTATTTCAAGTTTCTTAGAATAAATATTTTGCTAATCTTTGCAAATCTACTTCATGGTCTGAATATCCTAGAAGCTCTTACAAAAAGGAGTTTACGTGGTTGTCTTAAATGCTAGAAAGACTTGATCTTACTAATCCTAATTTAATATTTAAATTAAAATTTAAACTTAGTGTCCTCCATTTCAGATGACCTAGAAAGGCAGAAAAATGGATAATAGGTGTTTTGCAGCTTCTGATGTTACTTGAGAAAAGTATTACTTTATTTCAAGTCATCCTAGGGAAGAAATTTCTAACTAAATATTCAAGTGTGGTAACCAGCCTTCTTTTGAACAAAGTAAGCCTGCATAGATTTGTATTTTCCTATGTATATTTATATATTCCATAAAAATTAGAATATTGCAGATTTTTTTCCAGCTTAAGAAAACCATTGCTCTGGCTTTGTTTAATTGAAACACAAAGACACATGAAAGTCTTTGAACTGTCTGGTTTTGGTTGGTGTTAGCCTTAAAAAAAGCCAAAAATCAAACCAGCCCATACACCTTAAACCCTCAGCCCAAAAAAGATACGTCTGACTGTGGATTATTAATGCTAATGTACGGATTTTACTTACTCACTTACTCTTAAGTAGACCTAAGTGTTTTAAATTAGGATACATAAAGGTTTGTGCTATTAAGTCTAAGCATTAAACAACTACCTATCACTGGACCCCTCCCCTTAGAATATAACTAGTGTTGTTTTTTTCCAACTCACAATTCTGCATTTTGCTAGATTTGAGTTTTACTATTTGGGTGGCATGTCCAGCACCCTCATCGAGTTTTACTGATTCAAATGACAGTCCTTTGAGTGGTGGGGTTTTATTTTTTTTTTCATATATGGCAGCTCTGAATGAGGGAGGACCAGGTATGTTAAATTTCAACCTCCCAGAGAAGTGATATTTTTGTCATATATTAGCCACATGAATTGGCTTTTTTTCCTTGTGAGTTTTTTGGGAACAAAATGGGCTTTGTGGTGTTTCATAGACCTTGCTCAGTAAGGGATTTCAACTGGACACTCCTTTATTCTTCTGATGCCGTCTGTTCCCATCCCAGATATGTTTGGAAGAGGCACTCTTTGGCTTCTAAAAGAATATGTTGTTAAGGAAGTATTACAGTAGTGTTTTGCAAAATCATGAGGATTAATTTCCTGAGAAGGTTACAACCTTAAGCCAGAGCCTTCGAGTTATATGCTTGTTGAATTTTATGAGAGAGTGGTTTTGTAGCCACTGGTTGGAAAATTGTGCTTTGAATAATTATCAGTGGTCTGTGTCAAAACTTGGGACAAACATGGCGGTTTTTCTACAGGACTTGTTCTGTGCACTTTATTGGTTAAATACTTTATTTAAGTAATGAACGGAAGAGGGAATACCCTTAATTAACTCTCAGATGATAGCAGGTGGGGTTGCCCACTGAGAAATTTGTTGTCTGACAAATTTGGGCTAAAACGGAAATTTCTTCAATTTCATGCAAAGGAGTTCAAAGTAATAGTCTTACTTTGGAATAATCAAATGCTGAAGAGACAATTTTGAAAGCTGCTTGAGCCAAGCAAGGCTATCGCACTCCGCTGTAAAAATAGGACACACCATGCTAGAAGATATGCACAAGTGCCTTGAACGTGAAGCACACAAAACGGGTTTTCTGCACTGTTCAACACTGATAAAAAGTGTGCTGGAGTACTTTGGTTTGTGTTTCATTATAGTGTGATTGGCCAGAGGGAGTCAGAAAAAGAAACCAATTACTAGAGCCACTGGTGATAGGACGTAAATAGAGGGAAAAATAAAAGAAATTGAAAACAAAAATAGCAAGAGAGGCTAAATATTATGAAAGTAATAGAACTTTTTTTTTCCTCTCCCATTCATGCTACGAAATACCAGAGAAGCAGAGCCGTGATTTTGAAGATGAGAACTCAGCAGAACACCAGGTATGGGTGCTACATTGCATCTGTTTTGATGGAGTGTTCCAGGCCAGGCTGGGTGAGGCTTTGAGCAATCTGGCCATCACAGAGGGGTTGGTTCTAGATGATTTTTAAGGTCCCTTCCAACCCCCAACCATCCTATGTCAGTCTCTTTGGGAAAAATGTATTTATGTAGTCAAAAGCTAAGAAATCATTTATGAGCAGATGGTCCTGTACCACGATATCTGGACTGGTTTTCAGCTGTATTATTAGGGTTATTTTGGAGGGGGAGAGAGAGCAGTTGGATATGGGCTCTTCACCACCAAGTGCCTTTTTAGTTAGGCAATATGTGGGTCTAACTTTTTAAATTACTATTTGTAAAATCTGTGTAGTCTAGAATAGCTTCTTTTGACTCAAAGTAAGTGTGTGTATAGACTTGTTAATAAAGGTGGTGTGATTTGGTCAGAATTTGTGGAATACACCTGAGTTTGTTTCACAACCACCACCCCCCAAAAACTGAGCATGTAGTGAAAGCAGAAAATTCTGTGGGCTAATTAATATAGTTTAAGCTACCAGGTATTAAAATTCCTTTCATGTGCTTTTAAGGAATCTTCTGAGAACTCTGGTGCAGATACATCTGATACAGGTGGGTTTTTTTCATTTACTGCTTATCTAACCTTTAATTAACTTTGTTGAGAAAATTGAAGATAGTGAGGTTTTGACCTTGTATTCCCAAATAATTATTTGATTGCATTAATTAGTGGGAACTGCCTTTGACTTGTTTTTAATGTTTATAACTGGTATTATTCAACAGTTTGAGCAAATGAAAACTTGAGTGTTTTTCATAGATTCAGCTATGGCTAGGCAATAGCCAGCAGTTAATGGCTGAAAGGGAAGTTGTACTAGAGTGTGTTTAGCTTGGGGTTTAAGTATTCTGGTAATTAATAAGCTTGTTCATCTACATAGCTGACTCTAAGGATGGCAATTTCTTCCCTGTTGAGGTAAATGTTTCCTACAGTCATTTGAGAGGATAGTTTCAAATAAGCATGTGAATGATAAAATAATTGCTGCCAATTTAGAAAGCACGCCCTTTTTCTCGGCCTGCTCAATGAAAGCTAGGAAAAATATTTCAGAGGCGCCTGTAGCTTGGCTTCTGTAACTTCCTTTGCCTTTTGCACTTGTGGGATAAATGAGTGAAGTGCTTCACAGACTCTGGTATTTTCATAGCAGCATCCAATAAAATGATTATGCGCTTCTCCTCCTCCTCTTACGAATGGTCTGTGAAGCGTCTGGTGAGGATTTGTAGAAACCTCTGTGAGTTCCAGCTATCTCCAAATCCTTTAAGATGTAGAAATTAGATTCTTAGGGATATGGGATTTGATTCCTCACCTAAAAAATTGAGAGTGCACTGTGGTGTTTGGGATGTGTGATGTTTTGGCCTTTGGTAGTTTGGGTTGGGTGTTTTCAGGGTCCGTTTTCCTTGGTTGGGTTTTGGTGGCTTTTTGATACATAAAAGCTTACCAATAGGGCACACTAACTTAAGGGAAGAAATCAGTCTTTAGCTGTTTTAACTAAGGTTTTAGTTTTGGCAGGTGTTTTCCCCTTTTAGTATTCATACAGAATACCTCATACTTCTCAGGGAAGGCAGAGTTTCTTCCAGGTATTATCCACTATTTTTGTGTTGAAAGTGTGCAAAGCTTGTCTACAGCAGGCAAAAGTCAAGTGGAGCAGCTCTCACCTGGGCCTGCAAGTCTGTCCTTAATAGGGAAAGTTATTAGGATTACCATTTCTTGCTTTCTCAGGAAGTAGCATGGCAGAGTAAATCTAACAATTACTTGTATCTAGCAGGATCCTATCACAGTGGACTGAATTAATTTGGAGAAAGGGATAGATAAGTTATAACTTAGAGAATGAGAGTGTTTTGGATGCACCTCCTGTGAAATAGCTTTCTGTAATAAAGGTCATATTTTTGAGAGAGGAAGGTGGAAGTTGTCTTTCTTCCTCTCTGTTTCTGCCTTTGAGATGCAAAGTGTTACTGAATTTCCCTTTTGGCCTTTAAGACCACTTTTGGATTCCCTGGAGAAAATACTTTTATTTTTCCATTCTGTGCCATGGCCCACTGCTAATTACTGACGTGTTCCAGTGATTTGGAAGTATGATTGTCAGCACATTGAAGATATTCTAAAATTAGATTTTTGAGGACTCACACTTAGGAGAATTTTCCACTTGTATAGAAATCAACTCATGCTCTGATGCAAGTTATTTGTTAATAATTTATAATTGCTGTGATGGGGTCAACTATTGTGTGACACAGGAGTTGTTCCCTTTATCTCGAGAAGCGCCCATTTTTGTAGCAGTCCAGTCTGTTCACCTGGATGAACATTTAGGAAGCAATCTGACAGGTTTGTGCCCAATTGAGCTGGAGGAAGAAGATTGTATGGCAGAAAGAGAAACAGCAATGTAAGAGTAGTATGACGAGGCAGTGATGTGGTAGTATGATAACCAAGATTTCTTTCACTCACGATTTCCAGGGTTATGCTCCTCTCTTTTTCCTTCCCTCTGATGAGTGCAGGGAAGTTCAGAAATCGGGGGTGAAAATGCAGTCATATATTTGATGCTCATGGATGACTGATTTTAGCTAATGATGAATTGGAAGGTCTGCCTACATTGAGGAAAACAATGTTTTGTTGCATTTCATTCACAAAACCACCCACAGAATACCTAAAACTGAGTGACCAGAGTCTGTCTTGTTTTTTCATATTCTCAAGTCTGCGTTATTTCTCACTTTGTGAGTCCTGAGGTGGTCTTGACAACCAAAAGCTACTGAGAGGAAGTGTGAGAGAAAATCCTGGCTATCTTTGTTGGCATATTTAGGAATGCAGTGGGGATTGTGCATTAATGATTAATGAATCTTAGAGAGCCACAAAAGAAAGAGCTTTAAAAATGTTTTACTCTCTGAGATGTTTAATAGAAGTCGTAAAGAACTGATGGCAAACAAGTTTTCTTAACCCTTCTTTGCTCCGCTGAAGTCATTTATGGAGCCACAAACCATGCTTTTCAATTGGAATTGGAATGGAAATGTAATACAGTTAAAAGTTACAGCGTAGAGAACTGTTTTCTAGAATGAAAACGGTGTAGTCAATAACTTGCACAGTGTGTGTTTAAAAACATTTCTGTTTTGAGTTCAGCTATGTTTGATTTAATATTTACCTTCAAATTGCAGGTGAAGAAGGTGGTGACGTAGCCTCAGTAGGAAGAAAATTTGAAGGAATTCATCTCAAGGTAAAAATTTTGGGTGTCTAATAGAATGTAGTGATTCAAAAGAAGCTAGTTACTATTTGAATAGTTTACACATGCCTGATGAGCTGATGCAGTCAGCAGAAGACTTGATATTGTCTGCATCACATTTAATGCACATTTTTGGCAAGTGAGGGGTTCAATAAGTAGCGTCACAGAGACCAATCAATGACAAGTGATGTTCTTGTCTTGCTAATACCAGTGGGCCAGAGAAAGGCCTACAATGTATTGCATCAGGAGGCAGCCCTGAGAAGGGCTTTTATAGGTAAGGAAAAAGAGAAAGCAGATGGATCATAAGGTGAAAACGCTTGTAAAAGAATGGTCGTTCACCTGAGAGTCTAGCATAAATAGGTAACATGATTGGAAGCAAATGGTAAATGAGCAGTAATGGCTGCCATAACAAAAGCAGGCTGGAATCTTCTGCTGTTGCTTCCCAAACTAGACTAGGGTCAGGACTAGCCGGACTGTTTACAGTGTTGAGGAAAAATATAACACGCACTTTGTGTGTGCAGCCATTTTAATCCTGTGGTTTGCTTCCTCCAATAGCGTTGCCAAAAATGGGATTTACAACAGCTAATACAATCTGCTTCAGAAAGGAGATTGTTTCCAGTTGCTTCCAGAGATTGCTTCCAGTTTGACTAATGAATGGCCTTTTATTCCAAAATTCTCTTAGGTTTTACATTGAGAGTAGTTGCAGAGTAGACCTTCATTTGTATATGACTTCACACGGAATGTTGGGAATACAAGTAGAGATTTGCAGCTGTAATTGTCAGAGCTTCGTAACCATTTTTCTTTCTTCCTCTTTCCTTTATTGGATTGGATTTTTGATGGTTTTCATCAGAGGATCTTTTAGGCAGTGTGTGCTGTTCCTCGAATATACTTGTTTATTATCCCTTTTTAAAATATTTTCACAGGTAGTTCCTTCTATGGAATTGTTGTGGGGTTTTTTTTTGGCTGGGGGGCAGGTGGGGAGGCAGATTTTTGCCTAAAATGTGTACATAAAAATAAGTTTTTGCAGGTTGCATATAGCCTGATCTGAAGAGCACTTGTTTGCAGTAAATCAGAATAATCATTTTGGAGTTGCCTGTGCCAATAAGTTCCATGTGTTTTAATAATTTTGTTTTCCTTTTAGAATCTGAATGTAGATGATGGCCAAATCTTGAAGAAAAAAAGAGTTCCAGTGGATGTGATATTACAAGGTGATGAGAGAAATATTCCCAAATGGATAACGGTGAGATATTTCTCCTATTCTAAGTTATGAGCTAGTTAGAATAAAATAAAAGCTCTTTAACTGGGTAGCAGTTAAATGCATTTTCACACAACTTCTCTGTGCTTCTCCCATTGTTCTTCTGCTTGATGTCTGTGTAGATATTGTAGGATCTTGGGGTTTTGAGAGCTATGAAATGTAAGAAACAAAGGAAATGTTTTATTAAATGTATTTTCTCTTGTGTTTTACTTTTATATGGTGTTCTTGGAACCCTGATGTGCAGGTTGATTTTTGAGCTGTTAATTTTCCTAAAAGTCTAAATCTGAGCTTTGTAGAGGCTCAAAGAAAAAGAATTAGCTTTGTTTTGATTTGGGGAGTGAGGAAGGTCAGGGTGAAGTGTCAGGATGCAGCTTCTCTTTTCTGCTGGAGCTGCCAGAGATGTGTAGATTACTCAAGTGTGTGTGTGTAGATATATATCGATGGATAAGTTCTTATATTTGGGGTAGGGATTAGTACATGACGTGTAACGTGTAAGTTGAAAAAATTATGAATAGCTTTCCAAGACTAAACTAGTAAGTCCTTAAACTTTCTATTGAAGCCTTAGACTAGATGTTTTCCACTTTGTCTGAACTTGGTTGAGCCCTTGAAGACCATAACTACTGTACATGACCCATAAGAGCAAGAGGCAAGGAAGTCACAAGTTAGGTTTTGATGATATCTTTAACATGCAAAAAGCTCAGAACATTAGATTGTTTTTTTCTTTCTATGTTTTTCAGATAACAACTCCTCCCAGTTTGTCAAAAAGTCATCGTTCAGCTTTGCCCGGACGAGAACTGCTTGGTACAATTAAGTCTTTTGTCTGTTGGTCAAATGTATTTCTTTAAAAATATGGTTTTATTGAAATTCATTAGGAGAAATATTTCATTTCTTGTAAACAAAGGCATTATTTATCCAGCTGAAAATTTTAATAGTCTGGTTTTCATAGGAAAGTCAGACATGATTTTTCTTATGGCAAACTGTATTTTGAAAACAGAAACCAAATTTTCTGTATAAATACAGCTGTTTTCATGCAGCCTCTGGAACCAATATGCATAGTTACAAATTCAGCAGCATTTAGCTCACTGTAAGCAACGGTTTTTAGTTCTACTTATTTTAATCTCAAGGAATGTAATACAGTGGCTTGGGGTCTGCTGGCAACTGATAGTCAAAGTGGTACTTTGTCAGCGAACTTTGGTCAGAAGCTTTCCATACTCACTGCAAGCCTAAGAGTTGTAGTAGAAATATTTTAGGCTTAACTACTGAAAGCAATATTTTCATCATGATTTATGAAAACAAAATCTGCACTTTTACTAGCCGAGTACAAAGCTTTCAAGAAACACAGCAAATAAGTAACACAACCTTTTGGATAAGGCTGTTACTTCTGACCAGGATTGACAAAATTGCAAAGAATCACTTTTGCAGTGAATATCTGCATATTATGCTATTTGAATAATGCAGGTTTCCAAGATTTCACTTCTTTCCTCTTTAATATGTGAAGTCCATATGGTTAGAAATGTATTAATGTTTTTTTGTAATAGTCAATAAGGTTATCTGAATCATATGCAGTTTATTTTAAGCTATACAATATATTATTTTAAGTGCCTTAATAGGTTCGGATTTTTTTCTGTCTTTATTTTTTTGACTCATTGTAGTTTTTTTGTTTGGTTTTTGGGTTTTTTTGAATAGGTAATCAAGCTGCTGTTTGCAGAAAGAAGCTAGAGTTTTCAAATGAATGTTCTTCATCCAAATATCCACAGTTACAACATTCTGCTGTTCCCATTCCATCAAATACAGTAGCCTCACCCAGGCATCGACCTTGTCCAGAACTGAGCATAACTTCATGTGATAGTATCCTTGGAGAATACCAGTCTGCAGATGAGGAATGCTCCTTGAGCAGTACAACTCTTTCAGGCTTGTATCCAGCAATGGTAGCGATACTTACAAAGCTCATGACCAAGCATTCTCAGAGAAAAGTGTTGAAGTACATGTTTGGACACTTAAGGTCCAAGAGACGGCATTCTAGAAGACCAAAGCTCAGTGTCACTGTAGACAAAATTACAGGGTTCGGACCCTGTAAATGTAAACCAAAGAAAGCATTCCACAGCACGTGTAGCTGTAGTAGTGAAGACAACCAAAATCCAACTTTTGGAAATGAGAGCAGAGAATTCTGTTATGACAGTTGTCCCATTAGTAATTCATCTGGTCTGGTGCCTCATGCTTGTGCTGATACAAATGAAATCAAAATGCACTACTCTGACTCAAGTTTAGAACAACATTTGGCATCTGGAAAAAGTCAGGAAGTCTGCAAACACACTGCTTTTCCTGATGTTATGGATAGAATGGGAGAGACATTTCTAGTTGAAGATAAATTACAGGCTATTTGCTCACCAAAGAATTCAGAATACATAGAAGGTGAAAAATTTACTTACAAACGTTTCTCAGAACCCAGTTTTATAACATCTACTGCCAGTTCAGATTCAAGAGCGTTTCATCTTGTAAAAGAGAGTAAGACTCAGAAAACCGACTTTTGTGTTGGTACCTCAGAGTTGTGTTCATCTGCTTGCAGTTCCCATGACAACAGAAACAATTCTATACCTACCACAAATTGTTCTCCTGTAAGATCATCAAATACTACGTTCATATGTCCTCAAAAAATAACTTCTTTCCACCACAAAAAGTCATTTTCCTCCTGGAAGCAGAATTCTTCAAAGCGGGACGAAGAAATAGATGCTGCATTTGACGAACTCTACTACAGAGTGATTTCTGGAGAATACTTTAAGCCTTTGACATTGACAAGACCTCTTTTAAACTCACAGAACCATGAAGAGAAAGGAACATTAGTGAAGAGTAATCTAAGTGATTCTGAGAGGTCCCTTAAACAGTGTGGTATAGAATTTGAGAAACTGTGTGAGAAGTCTGTTCCAAAATCTCCTGGGCTTCAGAGAGCTTCAAATTTCAGGAAATATGAAGAAATACAGATGCCTGAAACTGTAAATGCTCTTGTTAATTCTCCTGTCAGAACTTACTCTGCAATTTCCAGTGCTAAAAGAGCAGGAAATTTTCAAAACCATCCTCTTTGTTCACCAGTAAAGCGACTGAAATTTATACCGGAATATTGTTTTTCTTCAAGCAAATGTCAGGAGATTTCCCACAGTAAAGAGGGTAATCTTCAGACAGGTGGCATGGATTTTTTGAGCACGTACAACTGTAGCAAGCCCAGCTTTTTTGCTGATCGCAACTGTCATTGTCAGGTATTTAAGGAGCTTGGGGGGAAAAAACTGTGCACCTTTAGATATTTGGAGAAGGGCTTAAGAATGGATTAGAGCTGCAAGCTGTTTCAACTAAGGATAGCATACTTACGGTGCTTTTTGGTCAGTAGGGATGTTTTACAGCTCTGGGGGCTTGGGGATATCAGGTCTCCTGGATCCATATGATGAAGCTCTCTATATTTAATAAATTTGAAATGGTTCTAAATGAAAGTTTTTACTCCATTTTAATAGACAATGTCACTGAAAAAATGGTCTCAAATATTGACTCAGTTATGGTGTTGTCCTTTTGAAATAATGACATGAATTTTAGAGATGTACAAGGTAAAACAAAATTAATCTTATAGGGTTTCACAGGAATCATTAAACTTTTTGATTTAAATCAGACACTTCTTTCCAAGTTCACAGTAATTTCTTCTGAGGCAAGCTGTGAAGCAGTATATCTTTTAATGAATGTTATATGTTGTTGCTTTATTTTCAGGGCTCTGGATCTCATGATTCTTCACAACAAAGTTTTCTTGGTATCTCTGGCACTTCCCTGCAAGGTTAGTTTCAGACACTTTATTAATTCATGCAAGAGTATTTTCTTAAGGAAATTTGCCCATAGAAGTACTTCCAATGTTTAAATAGGCTAATACTTAAACAACATTCTGTAATGTTCATGCTACTCAGCATTGTTCCTGCCCTTTTTATCCACTGTTTCTAATCACCAGAATCTGGGACTGCAGGTGCACACTCTGGTTGGCTTGGGGCAATGGAGAATTGCAGCTCTCTCAGAAATGTGAGCAAGCATCACCCAAGGTAATAATAGCCTCTTTTTAAAAGAGGTTTCAAAATTAATTCTTACTCCTCTATGCCTGCCTTAAAGATATGGAGGTGACATGCATAATTTTGTAGAATGAAAATGAGTGTGGGAGAGCCCAAGCTAATCACAGCTGCAGACTTGAACACTGAGAGGCAAGTGTCTGTGGTCAAAACTAGCCAGACTCCAGCAAGGAGAGCTGCTGAGCACAAGACAGTAAGATGACCTGACTGAATACCTACTGTAATTCCTATCTGGTGTTCATTATAGAGGCATTTATTGTTTTAGATATGCTGTGGAATTGATTGTGGCTCTGTGTTTAAGCTGACAAGTCCTCTCAGAGAGGATTGCAATATATTGTTATTTAAAAGAACTTGCAAAAGCTGGCCTCTGTGCAGATGGGCATCATTAGCTTCATTTTGGCTCTGTGTGAACAAGCAGTGGTTCTGTTTGGAACATATCAGAGATCCTGTCCTCCTGCTATTATCACTACTGGCAGTGTATTTAGATCTCTGGAAGCAGGACACTCTTTCCAGTTCCCTGAATACTGGCCTAAAATGTCTGGTTTTCATAGAAAATAAGTAACTTTTAAAGGATTATCAAGCTTCAGATCTCTTCAATTTTTAATTACAAACATCTAATATTCCAAGAATTTCTAAATTATTAAAAGCTCTCTAAAAAATTCCTGATTTTATTTACCAAAACATTTTTTATGTGCTTTTTTGCCATAAGTGTAATTTTTCACCAGACATTGTGCTGGCTTCCCAAGCTCAGTCAGGAAATATTTTCACTATGCTTGAGACCATCATCATATCAGCATTAACTGACAATGTTTGAATTGGAAGGTCAAAGGAAGGCTGAAAGTATTTTTTAAACTACTTGCTTGTATGGAGAATTTACCCAGAAAAGAAGTTTTAATGATGTAAAGAAATCAAGTTTCAGTTTAAGCAAAGATGGAATTGAAATTTAGAGGCTTACAAATACATACAATATTGATAAAGATTATTTTTTGATTATTTTGTATATAATGAAAGATTGGAGACAAGCTGATGAGTATGCAAGGATGTTTCTCTGATGTTGAGTATGCCCACTTAACTGAGCAAAGTTCTTCTCAGTTCTTTGATTTCCTTTTGTTTTTCCTCACTACATTATCCTGTCTCCTCATACAAAACAGCCATTCCTGTTAGATTAGTTATTGTTTTAAAGGAAATGGGTTTTCTTTATTTAATGCCTATAAGTAGAGAAATCAAGATTTCAGAGTTTTCTTCCAAATCATCTGGATTAAAATCTATTTCTTTCTTCTTTAATTATACAAAGACATGTTTGCTGATTTGTAGCCAAAACAGACTGTCAGCTGGAAAGCTTCCTGAGGCCTGTGGTGTGATATTTTCAGCTTTCTATGGTTCCCAGCAGTGAAGCTTTTTAATGGCTTCAGATCCCTCAGACGTTCAATGCTATGAGGAAAAATGCTCTATTTTCTAATGAATGGTTGTGAAAAGAAAAGGAATAATGTTTTTCTATCTGGACCCAGATTGCCTTTATCTAGAAGATGATTATGAAAGAGATTTCTGAAAAGGAAATGTTCATAACGATTAACATAAATGTTCATAACTAATGTTCATAACAGCTCTGCGTGAACGCTGTCCTACAGCTTTACTGCTATACTTAATTGTCAGATGTAAACAAAATTAGTTCAAAATAGGAGAGAAAATCTATGCAATTTCTTAAGCAAAGTGTTCTCACTTGTGTCTTTATCTTTTATCTAGTTCTGAATACATTCCAAGATTGCATCTCAAAGTTTAATAGATATACATAACTTAGATTGATCTAGTAGCACTACTGAGGGATTAAAATGACATAGCATGAAAAGCTTCCTCTTCATGTGAAAGCATATAGGAAAGCAGACAAGGAGCCCTGCTGCTGTTGACAGTCAAGATGTTCAGATACCTTGCTTTTACAATTTGTTTCAATTTCATCCTGTTTACTGGAGTTTCAGCAAATATACAGTATTTTTGTGTAATTTACTCCATCATCTAAACAAAGGTTTTGGGTTTTTTTTCCTTAGAGTGTACAGAAAACTAAGCTACACTGATGGGAAAGACCAATTGTAGGAATCCCTTGGATGACTCTCTGGTTAAAGCTCACCAAGAAGCATTAATGCATTGTTACAGTTAAAAAAGTTTTATATTGGTTGGGTTTTATTCAGTGTTGTTTCTTCTTCCAAGAATCAAGGATGTATAATTATATGTAAGCAATACACAAATAGTTCTGACTTATACTTCATTGTAGTTCATATCTTTGGGAAAGGGTTCATCCCTTTTAACAGGGCACTTCTTACTCAATTTATGGCTAAGTTGGATTTTTATATTTGACAGTATTTGTAATAACAGAGTGTGATCTGTATTCTTTTTATTTGCTGATAAGCTTTGATTCTTACTGTATTAATAATAAGGAAACTGTATTAATAATAAGGAATAAGCTTATTTACCTAAATTGCTGCCTATTCATGCTTTTTGAATGCATCAGTACAGACCCAAAAATCATTGCTATATACTATGACTTGAGTCTGCTATGCAATGTTAATGTTAAAATTTTCCAGAGTTGGTTGTTCAATAAAATTTTATACTGTTTAATAGGTTTGATAATTGCATTACGTGTTTTGACAAAATTGTACATGACACAGTATATGTTCTAAATAAAAAACTGTTCTGAACAAATACCTGCCTTCAACATTTTATTTCACCTATGTGAATTCTCAGGAGGAGTTTGTGTATCTGCATGAGGAAATCCATGAGAATGAGGTATGAGGGTCCCACAGGCTTTCACTGCTGTGTTCTTTCTTGGCAAGGGAATTGTGTTAGTGGTGTCAGATCAGGTACTTGCTGTTTTATCAGCACTGCCCCTTGTTAGCTTTCTCAGCTTCAGAAAAGGAAGAAATTGGTTTTCTTTGGCTTTCCTTTTTTCCAGACACACAGGAGGGTTTTATTTTAGCTCTTAGAACCAGAATTTTGTTATCTTAAGTATTGTTCTTAGGACAAGAAGCCAGATCTAGTGAAGTTTTCTCTGCAATACAAACTTCTGCACACACATTCCATCCTTCATAATTTGGATATTGCATGTATTTCCATGACAGTAGCAAAATACTGTCTTCTAGAAATGCTCTTGGGGCTCTTTTTTCTTCCTTTTCCAGACACGGATGCACTGTAGGGAATATATTTTATGAGCTATCTTGCTCTTGGATTTGTTGAGGTAATTATTTCCCAGTATTTCTTGATACACTAGTATTGAGAGATTACATAATTAATTTATTGTTTTCTGTTCTAAAGTAATTTAGAAGTCAGCTGGAATTGTGGTTTGGACCTGTTCTGAATCTAGATATGACTTCTAAACAGCAACTTCAATGCAGCTCAGACAGGTAAGGGAAGGTAAGTTGGTTTATTCAACATAGCAAAATTGTCTTTGTGAAGATTACTTTGAAATAATTTAAAGAGGTCATTCTTGGAAAACCTTTTAAGTGTTGGAAGATAAGATCATACCAATGCCATGTTTTGGGTGCTAGTTTTAGAGTTGATCCTCCTACACCATGTGAGCCAGCAGACTCTTGGTGCTGCCTGATCTCTTGTGTTTTGGGTTCCATTCTTCTAACCTTCCAAACTATTGCTTTTTCCACCATACTTCCTCTTGTTTACTCATTCTTCAGTGTTCTGTTGAACTGGTACTTGAATGCTAAGCATACTGTTAATAAAAAAAGCTTTACATTGCTTCTCTTTGCTATAAAAATTTTTTTAAGGAACAGTGGAAAAACAGATAAGGTTACTGAGACAGTGTAAACATAGAACCTAGCCCCTCTTATGTTGTCATTAGTTGTAACTTGCTCTATATGTAAAGAATTTAACTGGTTCACAGCAAATTTTAAAGAGAACCCCAAAGGGGCTCCACTAGGAAAGCAGATTTAATCAATCCCTCCCCCCAACCACTCCAGGAGAAAATACGTCCTTGGAGAAAAGTGGAAAAAACTGTTTATTAAACAATAAAACCTAGACAATATTAAACAATAAACCCCCTTGCTGCTCCAAAAGAGATGACAAACTCAGAAAGTCCCTCCCCAGGTTGCAGTTCAGCTCACTCAGTCTCTTATCTGTCCCTCCGGTGCTGGAAATGTAGCGGGCCAGGCCTGGCCTGGTGGGCCACAGGTGTGAGCTGCCGGTGCTCCCCTGGGTGTTCAGTCCAGAGCAGGTTTGAACAGGTCCAAAGAAAAAGGAAAAAACCCCACAGTCCAGGGAACTTCTTTGCCTCAGCTAGCTAAATTAACTAAAAGCAAAGGAGAACTCTGTCCCGCTGTCTGTCCATCAGCAGACAACACAGTCCAGGAGCAGGAATGTGGAGGGGTGAGTGCAGTGTCTGAAAACAAACTGCTCACTTCTTCTCTGCCCCCTTCACTCTGGAACACGTCTTAAAGGTGCAAAATTTATTATTCAGCATAAAAAGAAGAAGATGACTGGGGATAAAAACATCATATAGTCAACCTAGGACATTCCACCCCTTATCCCCATATCGTCCGCTTACTACTAAAACTAATATCTATTCTAACTCTACAAACACATACATTATACATCCAATATAAAGCTATTTAGACAATGGTAGTAAAGCAAAAAAAAAAATAAAATATTTACGCATAGGTCTCCCAACAATCAGATCTTCCTTCCTTAGGTACACATCGTGTTCTTCCATCTTTTTGCATTATCCGCCATGTGCAACCTGGTCCCTGAGCAAAAACAACCCCATGAATGGGTTTGTCTGTATTCAAGGCAGAATTAATCCAAACTGTCTTCCCTAACAAACCTCTGACATGTACCAGTGGGACTTTGTCTCCATCTACTCTGTGCAAAGGCTCAGATTTGACAGGGCCCACTCGGTTAGTAGAGCCTCGGGTGTTAACTAACCAGGTGGCTTTTGCCAGATGCTGCTCCCAGTTTTTGAAAGATCCCCCACCTAATGCTTTCAAGGTGGTTTTTAGCAGTCCATTGTACCTCTCCACTTTACCTGCAGCTGGTGTATGGTAGGGGATATGGTACACCCACTCAATGCCATGTTCCCTAGCCCAGGTGTTGATAAGGCTGTTCTTGAAATGGGTACCTTTCAGGGGTACCATGCCTCCACAGGACTTGCTTTTCCAGGCCCAGGATGGTGTTCTGGGCAGTAGCATGAGACACAGGGTAGGTTTCCAACCATCCTGTGGTGGCTTCTACCATGGTCAGCACATAGGACTTGCCCTGGCGTGTCTGGGGCAGTGTGATGTAGTCAATCTGCCAGGCCTCCCCATACTTGTACTTGGACCACCGCCCACCGTACCATAGGGGCTTCACTCGCTTGGCCTGCATGATGGCAGCCCACATCTCACAGTCATGGATAACCTGAGAAATACTGCCCATGGTTAAATCCACCCCTCGGTCTTGTCCCACTTATAGGTGGCATCTCTACCCTGCTGGCCTGAGGCATCATGGGCCCATCGAGCTAGGGATATCTCTCCCTCGTGTTCCCAGTCTAGGTCTATCTTGGACACCCCTATTTTTGCAGCCTGGTCTACCTGCTCATTGTTTTGGTGCTCCTTATTACCTCTACTCTTGGGGACATGGGCATCTAGATGGCGGACTTTCACAGGTAGCCTCCCTACCCTGGCAGCAATGTCTTTCCACTCATCAGCAGCCCAAATTGGTTTTCCTCTACACTGCCAGTCATCCTCTTTCCACCTTTCCAGCCAGCCCCACAGAGCATTGGCTACTATCCAAGAAGCAGTATAAAGGTAGAGCTTTGGCCACTTCTCTTTCTCAGCAATGTCCAGGGCCAGTTGAACAGCTTTGAGTTCAGCAAGTTGGCTTGATCTACCTTCTCCTTCAGTGGCCTCTGCGACCTGTCATGTGGGGCTCCATAGGGCTGCTTTCCACTTTCGTTTCATTCCCACAATGTGGCAAAAACCATCAGTAAAAAGACCGTATCACATATCTTCCGCTGGCAGTTGGTATGGTGGAGCTTTTTCAGCACGTGTTGTTCCTCTTGTTCCTCTTCATCAGTGAGACCAAAGTTTTCACCTTCTGGCCAGTTTTAATTATTTCCAGAATCCCAGGGTGATTCAGGTGTCCAGTATGGGCACACTGTGTGATAAGAACAATCCACTTGCTCCATGTAGCACTAGTGGCATGGTGAGTGGAAGGAACCTTGCCTTTGAACATCCACCCCAGCACTGGTAGTCAGGGTGCCAGGAGGAGTTGTGCTTTAGTGCCTATTACCTCTGAGCCAGCTTGGACTTCTTCAAAAGCTGCTAAAATTTCCTTCTCTGTTGGAGTATAGTTGGCTTCAGATCCTTTGTAGCTTCAACTCCAAAATCCTAGTGGTCGACCCTGAGTCTCCCCAGGCACCTTCTGCCAAAGGCTCCAGGGCAAACCATGGTTCTCAGCTGCAGAATAGAGCATGTTCTTCACCTCTGGTCCCATCCTGACTGGGCCAAGGGCTACTGCATGAGCAGTCTCCTGCTTGATCAGTGCAAAGGCTTGTGGCTGCTCAGGGCCTCAGTGGAACTCATTCTTCTTACGGGTGACCAGGTAGAGAGGGCTCAGGATCTGACTGTATTCAGGAATGTGCATCCTCCAAAAACCTATGGCACCTAGGAAAGCTTGTGTTTCCTTCTTGCTGGATGGTGGAGACATTGCTGTGATCCCGTTGATGACATTGGTGGGAATCTGACGCCGTCCATCTTGCCACTTCACTCCCAGAAACTGGATCTCTTGAGCCGGTCCCTTGACTTTGCTCTTCTTGGTGGCGAAGCCAGCTTTTAGGAGAATCTGGATGATTTTCTCTCTCAAACACTTCTGCTGCCATCTTCCCCCACACAATGATGTCATCAATATATTGCAGATATTCTGGAGCCTCACCCTTTTCCTAGTGCAGCCTGAATCAGTCCATGGCAGATGGTGGGGCTGTGCTTCCACCCCTGGGGCAGTTGGTTCCAGGTGTACTGCACGCCTCTCCAGGTGAAGGCAAACTGAGGCCTGCATTCTGCTGCCAGAGGAATGGAGAAAAATGTGTCAGCAATGTCTATAGTGGTGTACCACTTTGCTGCCTTGGACTCCAGCTCGTACTGGTGTTCTAGCATGTCTGGCACAGCAGTGCTCAGCGGTGGAGTCACTTCATTCAATGCACGGTAGTCCACAGTCTATCTCCATACTCCTTCAGATTTATGCACAGGCCAAATGGGGCTATTGAAGGGTGAGTGGGTCTTGCTGACCACCCCTTGGCTCTCCAGTTCACGCATCATTTTGTGGATGG